CTCAAACACAGAGCACTTCGTCCACAGCCAACTAAAGGGTTCACTCAAACACAGAGCACTTCGTCCACAGCCAACTAAAGAGTTCACTCAAAAACAGAGCACTATAGCCAACTAAAGGGTTCACTCAAACACAGAGCACTATAGCCAACTAAAGGGTTCACTCAAACACAGAGCACTATAGCCAACTAAAGGGTTCCCTCAAACACAGAGCACTTCGTCCACAGCCAACTAAAGGGTTCACTCAAACACAGAGCACTTCGTCCACAGCCAACTAAAGGGTTCACTCAAACACAGAGCACTTCGTCCACAGCCAACTAAAGGGTTCACTCAAACACAGAGCGCTTTGTCCACAGCCAACTAAAGGGTTCACTCAAACACAGAGCACTATAGCCAACTAAAGGGTTCACTCAAACACAGAGCACTATAGCCAACTAAAGGGTTCACTCAAACACAGAGCACTTCGTCCACAGCCAACTAAAGGGTTCACTCAAACACAGAGCACTTTGTCCACAGCCAACTAAAGGGTTCACTCAAACACAGAGCACTTCGTCCATAGCCAACTAAAGGGTTCACTCAAACACAGAGCACTATAGCCAACTAAAGGTTCACTCAAACACAGAGCACTATAGCCAACTAAAGGGTTCACTCAAACACAGAGCACTATAGCCAACTAAAGGGTTCACTCAAACACAGAGCACTTCGTCCACAGCCAACTAAAGGGTTCACTCAAACACAGAGCACTTCGTCCATAGCCAACAAACCACGTTACAGGAAATCTTTTTTTTTCAAATGCACTAATTACACAATCTACGTTAGGCCAAAAGGAGCAGTCATAAACAACGTTAGTTTACCCCCCCCCCCCCCCCAAACTACTTAGACAAAACTATAAGTCATAAAGCTCAAATGACGTCACCCCCCCCCCCCCCCCCCCCCGACACACAAAAATTGCAATTTTTAAAAACCGAGCTATTTCAACAACGTGTTGATTTCTGGTGATTTAAATGAATTCGACAACAATGTTTTTTACACGCTAAAATACCACGGTATTTTCCCATTCCCATTTATGTATTGTACGGCCCATAAGGGAGGTAAGAAGTAAGGAAAGCTGTTAAAATCGATTTAGAGACCTAGGTTGTGTTCCTTGAGTCTACATCCACAATTTAAGATGACATTGTTTTTACAAATATAATTGCCACTGTGGCAACCGCCCCTAATATATATATATATATATATATATATATATATATATATATATATATATATATATATATATATATATATATATATATCTTAATTAGCAAAATTTACCTCTTATATATATATATATATAAATATATATATATATATATATATATATATATATATATCTTAATTAGCAAAATTTACCTCTTATATATATATATATATATATATATATATATATATATATATATATATATATATATATATATATATATATATATATATATATATATATATATATATATATATATATATATATATATATATATATATATATATATATATATATATATATATATATATATATAAACTGGCAGCTGATAAACAAAAAAATAAAACTATAAATTCAACAATTTAGAATTCAATAATTCAGAATTCAATAAATTCAACAATTCAGAACTCAATAAATTCAACATTTGAGAATCCAATGAAGCCAAACATAAAAGATGAAACCAATCAATCACCTGAAGGTATCACACACACCATGATAGACACAGCCAATGGTCAGGGTCATCCTTAAGGTCATAATTGCTTACTTTACAATGTATTCACAGACTGCTGAATAACAGTACATTGTTAACAAACAGCTAACACTATCAAACTTAACAACACTACTGTTCTATTGATATATGTGATGTGCAGAAAATGCATGTCTGTCACAAAAATACCCCCTCCCTACTCATGGGATCCACAGTAGTATTGTCCTGTACACTCCATAGGCCAGTCAGTGTGGACTATTGGCCAAGTTTAAGGCAACAGAAAGTGCATCATAAAGAACATTTTAAGTTACTAAATCAACCATCTGTCGTAACTTTATTACAGATCTAATTTAATCATTTGTCATAAATAAACTCATTACAGATCTCATCTAAACATTTGTATATTTTTCATCAAGATAATATTGCAGAGGGGATTGATAAAGGGTGAGGTTACTAGCAAGACCATGATAGATAAACTAATTATAAATGAGTGAGACACAAGAGGTAAATTTTGCTAATTATTAAGATACAGACCAGGTATACAAAATTGATGTCCAGTGAAGAATATAATTTTCTTGTAATTCAATATCTTACTTTTAAAATGTGTGCATTAAAATGATAAAAATCCACTTTTTTGTAGACACAAGAACTAAGTAACCAAACCTTCAATACTAAAATATGGATTTTTAAAATATTATTTATAGGCCCATAGTCTATTAATACACATGTTTTTGAATTTAAAATATTTATTAAAAGGCTTAAATTATTGGGTCAATAAAGAAAAAAATAATTATCAATACCATAAATAGCCATTTAAATAAATTGCAATAGATATTTAATAGATATTTTGTATACCTAAGGCTAGGCTTTTGGCCTAGAACTATATAAATAATACTCATAGGTATATACTATAATGAATTTATATGATGTATATGCCTATACATGTATAAATAGGCTTCATGTTTACCTGGCCCACTATATAAATAGCACTAAACTTGTACAAAAGTTATTCCAGTAGCTATGTAGATGTATAGAGGCCACTATAATTGTCAAAATGTGTATTACACTAATTTATCAAGTTTACAAAGTAAACTATCATTGTATCATAGTATAATATTAGTATAATATGATACCAACCACACAACAGTATGGGTAAGGACAGGACAAATTCCAGTCTGTGTTTCTTTCAGAGATTTTTCTTGGGGGAGGGGAGGGGTAACTTGAGATTTTGGTTGGGGGGGGGGTGACACTGGTAAAAGTATATATTTTTTATATAAATTCCATTTGTTGGATGGGGGGGGGGGGGGGGGTTATAAGTATTACAAGACAAGGTATATTATCATAATTATGTGAAGTGATCCCAAATACATGGTGTAGAAAAACTGAAAAAGTCGTGAAAATTATTTGAAAGAGTTGGCAATGGAAAAAACAGCAAATGACAGAAAAGCATGGAAAGATGCAAGAATACTAGATCTAGACCCCTAAGCTCCACTGAGAGCTGATAAAAAGATGAAGATCATGTCATCTATTAAAACTATTTATAATACCAAGTACTAGTTTCCAACCAACAATCATTCAATATCATTTTCATTAGCCATTGCCATGTCATTGAAAATGATTGACTAATTCATTTATGTCCCTGTCCATCATTTATTTAATACCAAGTTCTTTCAAACTCTTTGTAAGGACAATAAAATTAGGCCTTAGGCCTATGGATTTGAATTAGAGTTAGACTTTAGACTGATTCAGTGATTTTACTGATTTTAGTTTTAGTAGTCCTACATTTGAATTTATTAAAATATTTTAAAATAAACAACTAGATCTAGACTAGATCTAGATTTAGATCTAGATCTAGTCTAGATCTAGATCTAAAATCTACTAATAACTAAGTAGTCTAAGTAAGATCATTTTTGTAGATCTAGATCTATCTTGTAATTTGTTAAAAAAATCCCAATCCTGAAAGTAAATCACAGCAGAGGGAAGTTGACTCAATCAATGTCAATAGTCAATCAATTATTTTTATTTTAAGCTTTGGCTTTGTTTAGGACTGAGCCTGACCAGGGCTTAGGCCTTAGGCCTTAAATCTATTTGTTGGAGAATACATTGTGGATAAAAGAGATTAAAATAAAGAAAATTCTGAAGTAAAGACTTGGCGATTATTTTTGTTAGAAAGCTATTTAATGTATTTATCTACTCTTACCTTTAGAGTTAGGTGACACAGTTGCTTTGATCAACAAAGTGCAGTCACAAACAAACGTCGATTGCCGTAGTTAGGCTACAACAGATGTAACAAATGCAGACGATTCAATCGGAAGTACAAGAGTTGCCTTCACTTGTTCAAATTTTCGCTTTTTAAAACTATAAATGTAAATTATATTTTCAATTTAATTAATGTACTTTTTACTAACATGTCAGCTTGCAATTAATATGATTTTTTAAACATAAAAATATGAAGTTTTGTCTATAACGTAAAAGAACGATACACAGTCAATCTTAAATGTAAACTTTTAATAGATTATTTTAGGCTAAACCACCTACAAATTAGTGTTTCTTCCAGTCTACTGCCCCCCCCCCCCCGAACGAAATGGAATTTATATAGAAAATATATACTTTTAATCGTGTCCGCCCCCCCCCCCTCCCTCCCACCGGAAATTTTAGTCCTACCCCTCCCCCGAAAATTTCATTTTTAAGTGCCCCCCCCCCCCCACTACCCCGGAGAAAAAAGTCTGAAAGAAATACTGCCCACAAAATGTTGTGACTACTGTGAATATGACGAACACTATGAAATGAGAAATAAAATAATTGATATGTAATCAATTTTTTTTTATAGAAAACTGTTTCATTACAAGTTAGATAACCTAGGTTATAAATTCCTCAAATCAGTTTTTAAATGTTACCTCCCTTCAATACATTGCACGTGCAACACGTTACCTTTCCTAACTTGTTCTAATTATAGCTCGGGCCTGACCTTCGCTCATCACCGCTAGATGCACATAGGGCCTAGGCTGACTCGGGAGGAGGGAGGTGCAGGCGGAAGTTGTTTTGGGGAGCTGTGATTTCCAAATTGTTACTTGGATTTTATTTTAGATTTTTTATTGCAGAACTATAGACTACTCATTAACTTAAACTTTGAATTAAACAACGTAGCTATTCGTATTCAAATTAAAGAGTGTTTTTGTTAGTTAAATTTAGAAATTTGATTTTGATCCTTTCGTTAGAAATAGCATATGTTACTACTAGATCTAGATATCTAGTAACTTACTAGATTCTAGAATCTTATCTGGATCTTGATTCTAGGTTTTAATATAATTAATTACACCACCAAGAAAATTTTAACTAACATCTTTAAATTCGATCACTTTGTAACAGAACTTTTCAACAGGTAGCCTGCCACACAGATCCAGTGTGTAGCGTCACATATGTAATCAGCAGATTTACGTGTGTAGGCAGTTCATGTGTAATGTGTAATGTGCAGTAGTTGCTGTTGTTGCTGTGGCCTGAACAGGACGTAAACAACAACAATTATGAACGTCTCCACAACTATGTCCACTCTTGATACCGAGGTAAGTAACTTGGTCAAGTCTAATCAAATCTATTGCTGTCGAATTTGGTCAAGTCTAAATTACAGTGGTTTTATGATGAGTTGTAATAAGTGTCTACCAGCAGAAATCACTACATTTGTATGCATTCACTTACTACTTACATTCACTTACTACTTACATTCACTTACTACTTACATTCACTTACTACTTAGATGTAATATCAGGAGCTTTCATTTTCTGCCATTTACCCACCAAATAAATCAAACTACTCATTAAGTATGGTGTTACAGCAAGTGAATTTTACACCAGTAAAGTTACAGTTACAGGTGTATAATTTACTGCTGCATGTGTATAATTTACTGCTACAGGTAATAAAGTAATAGTTGCAGGTGTTAAAGTTACTGTTATGAGAATCACCAGCTTGATCCTGTTACGTATATATATATATATATATATATATATATATATATATATATATATATATATATATATATATATATATATATATATATATATATAAATATGTATATATAAATATATATAAATATATATATATATATATATATATATATATATATATATATATATATATATATATATATATATATATATATATATATATATATATATACTTATATAAGTCTATTATGTATACACATAATGTGTACACACTTGCATATTTGTTTATCCAGCAGTGTGCAAGCCTAGGGGATGTGTCCACCCTGGGGCCTCGGACTGACCCACGCTCACCAATGTCCATGGGTCATTTGGGAGCCTCCACTCTGTCTATGAGAGCTAAGGCTGCTAGAAAACGTAAGGTCAACGCTACTCACAACAGCAATTTTAGGTCAGTAAAGACAGGTCCATTTTTTTTTATTTATATGCAAATATAACTCAAAAATGTACAGTCCTTTTAAAACATTTGAAGTCTATAGCAGGCTTTAGATGCTGTGTTATAATGTTTTGTAGCATGAAATTAGGATGAACTTATTTTATTTTAATCAAGGGCTGGCTACATCCCAGTTGAAGAGAATGCACTTCACCGTGCAGGGATTAGAGGTCGCAAGCGCTACTTCCTTTATTCAATTGTTGGGATTTTAATTTTTATTGCACTCCTAAATATAACAGTAAGTTCTATTAAGTAGCAGTCTTTCATCACATCTAAAAAAATGTAATCTCTTACATTAAATTACTCCTACAAAGGGATGTAAATTTGTTCATGTTTTTTAAAAACATTTCAAATATGGAGAAAAATTTGTATTCTAAAGGGAAGTAAACCTTGTTATGTAAAACACTTTTTGTTGTAGGAGATTAAATCTCTACTGTAAAGGGAAGTAAGTCGTGATTATAAAAATGCAATCTCTAGGTGACAGCATGGTTGGTTCACATTCTTGGCATGAGGTTCCACGGCCTAGAGAGCATCGAACTGACCAGCATCAGGGGCAGAAACTTTCTCAGGGTCCTGCATGACGCTGACATATCAGCCATGTCATTCAATGACGCGCCCCTAGGGGCAAGGTACAACTCTCCACTCACCCTTGAGGCTAATGGCTCATCTGTAAGTCCCTAAATCTTCATCACTCATCTGTACGTCCCTAATTCTTCATCACCCATCTGTAAGTCCCTAAATCTTCATCACTCATCTGTACGTCCCTAATTCTTCATCACCCATCTGTAAGTCCCTAATTCTTCATCACCCATCTGTAAGTCCCTAAATCTTCATCACCCATCTGTAAGTCCCTAATTCTTCATCACCCATCTGTAAGTCCCTAAATCTTCATCACTCATCTGTACGTCCCTAATTCTTCATCACCCATCTGTAAGTCCCTAATTCTTCATCACCCATCTGTAAGTCCCTAAATCTTCATCACTCATCTGTAAGTCCCTAATTCTTCATCACCCATCTGTAAGTCCCTAAATCTTCATCACTCATCTGTACGTCCCTAATTCTTCATCACCCATCTGTAAGTCCCTAAATCTTCATCACTCATCTGTAAGTCCCTAATTCTTCATCACCCATCTGTAAGTCCCTAAATCTTCATCACTCATCTGTACGTCCCTAATTCTTCATCACCCATCTGTAAGTCCCTAAATCTTCATCACCCATCTGTACGTCCCTAATTCTTCATCACCCATCTGTAAGTCCCTAATTCTTCATCACCCATCTGTACGTCCCTAATTCTTCATCACTCATCTGTAAGTCCCTGATTCATCACCCATCTGTAAGTCCTTCATCACCCATCTGTAAGTCCCTTAATCTTCATCACCCATCTGTAAGTCCCTAATTCTTCATCACTCATCTGTAAGTCCCTAATTCTTCATCACCCATCTGTACGTCCCTAATTCTTCATCACCCATCTGTAAGTCCCTAATTCTTCATCACCCATATGTAAGTCCCTGATTCATCACCCATCTGTAAGTCCTTCATCACCCATCTGTAAGTCCCTAATTCTTCATCACCCATCTGTACGTCCCTAATTCTTCATCACCCATCTGTAAGTCCCTAATTCTTCATCACCCATCTGTAAGTCCCTAAATCTTCATCACTCATCTGTAAGTCCCTAATTCTTCATCACCCATCTGTAAGTCCCTAATTCTTCATCACCCATCTGTAAGTCCCTAATTCTTCATCACCCATCTGTACGTCCCTAAATCTTCATCACTCATCTGTAAGTCCCTAATTCTTCATCACCCATCTGTACGTCCCTAATTCTTCATCACCCATCTGTAAGTCCCTAAATCTTCATCACTCATCTGTAAGTCCCTAATTCTTCATCACCCATCTGTAAGTCCCTAAATCTTCATCACTCATCTGTAAGTCCCTAATTCTTCATCACCCATCTGTAAGTCCCTAATTCTTCATCACCCATCTGTAAGTCCCTAAATCTTCATCACTCATCTGTAAGTCCCTAATTCTTCATCACTCATCTGTAAGTCCCTAAATCTTCATCACTCATCTGTACGTCCCTAATTCTTCATCACCCATCTGTAAGTCCCTAATTCTTCATCACCCATCTGTAAGTCCCTAATTCTTCATCACCCATCTGTAAGTCCCTAAATCTTCATCACTCATCTGTAAGTCCCTAATTCTTCATCACCCATCTGTACGTCCCTAATTCTTCATCACCCATCTGTAAGTCCCTAATTCTTCATCACCCAAAGCCTCTACTTCATCTACAGCTCTTAGTTTTAGTATGAGACAATATATAACAAGTACATGCACAACGTATAACAAGCACATATACAACATATAACAAGCACATATACAACATATAAAACCACAAGCATGAACTGTTGGTCTGTGTGAAGTTTGGGGTGGGGTCCTAATGGTTGTCCACATGTGACATTTAACTGACGTCAGCAACTGTTCTATGTCAGCACATAATGTCAGCACATAATGTCAGTAGTCAGTGACTCTCCACACTGGTACATATCTCAACAGCTGAGCTACCTTTGACATTCAGCTCTAGCTTTAAACAATTTTTGATAATTAAAGAGAATCACTGATCAAATCTACATTAATCAATAATTAAATGTCAGTTTCTGATCTAATATTGATGTTACCAACACATTGACCAATGTGGCCCAGATAATCAACACATTGTCAAGCTGTCCACAACATGAACAATGCACTGACCACTTACCAGCACATCAGTAACAAACTGACCACTTGCCAGAATAGGCAACAACACTTACAACTGACCAGCACATAAACAACACACTGTCCAACTGACCAGCACATAAACAACACAGTGTCCAACTGACCAGCACATCAACAACACACTGTCCAACTGACCAGCACATCAACAACACACTGTCCAACTGACCAGCACATCAACAACACACTGTCCAACTGACCAGCACATAAAAAACACAGTGTCCAACTGACCAGCACATAAACAAGTGTCCAACTGACCAGCACATAAACAACACAGTGTTCAACTGACCAGCCCAACCACCCAACAGGTGGAGTTAAAACTGACCCAGCCTGACACCAAATCTTCTCTGACCCTGGGGGACAAGAACATCACCGTCACCACCGACAACTTCCATGTCAGATCAAACCACAGCAGCGAGTGGCTGTCAACCAGCCTCTCCTCTCTCTCATCACATGACCTGGTGGTCAACTTATCAGTGGACAACATTACAACTAGTCAGGTAAAGTAGCCAGTGGTCAACTTATCAGTGGACAACATCACAACTAGTCAGGTAAAGTAGCCTGTGGTCAACTTATCAGTGGACAACATCACAACTAATCAGGTAAAGTAGCCTGTGGTCAACTTATAAGTGGACAACATCACAACTAGTCAGGTAAAGTAGCCAGTGATCAACTTATCAGTGGACAACATCACAACTAGTCAGGTAAAGTAGCCTGTGGTCAACTTATCAGTGGACAACATCACAACTAGTCAGGTAAAGTAGCCTGTGGTCAACTTATCAGTGGACAACATCACAACTAGTCAGGTAAAGTAGCCTGTGGTCAACTTACCAGTGGACAACATCACAACTAGTCAGGTAAAGTAGCCTGTGGTCAACTTATCAGTGGACAACATCACAACTAGTCAGGTAAAGTAGCCTGTGGTCAACTTATAAGTGGACAACATCACAACTAGTCAGGTAAAGTAGCCTGTGGTCAACTTATCAGTGGACAACATCACAACTAGTCAGGTAAAGTAGCCTGTGGTCAATTTATCAGTGGACAACATCACAACTAGTCAGGTAAAGTAGCCTGTGGTCAACTTATAAGTGGACAACATCACAACTAGTCAGGTAAAGTAGCCTGTGGTCAACTTATCAGTGGACAACATCACAACTAGTCAGGTAAAGTAGCCTGTGGTCAACTTATAAGTGGACAACATCACAACTAGTCAGGTAAAGTAGCCTGTGGTCAACTTATCAGTGGACAACATCACAACTAGTCAGGTAAAGTAGCCTGTGGTCAACTTATAAGTGGACAACATCACAACTAGTCAGGTAAAGTAGCCTGTGGTCAACTTATCAGTGGACAACATCACAACTAGTCAGGTAAAGTAGCCTGTGGTCAACTTATAAGTGGACAACATCACAACTAGTCAGGTAAAGTAGCCTGTGGTCAACTTATCAGTGGACAACATCACAACTAGTCAGGTAAAGTAGCCTGTGGTCAACTTATAAGTGGACAACATCACAACTAGTTAGGTAAAGTAGCCTGTGGTCACCTTATCAGTGGACAACATCACAACTAGTCAGGTAAAGTAGCCAGTGGTCAACTTATCAGTGGACAACATCACAACTAATCAGGTAAAGTAGCCTGTGGTCAACTTATAAGTGGACAGCATCACAACTAGTCAGCTAAAGTAGCCGGTGGTCAACTTATCAGTGGACAACATCACAACTAGTCAGGTAAAGTAGCCTGTGGTCAACTTATCAGTGGACAACATCACAACTAGTCAGGTAAAGTAGCCTGTGGTCAACTTATCAGTGGACAACATCACAACTAGTCAGGTAAAGTAGCCTGTGGTCAACTTATCAGTGGACAACATCACAACTAATCAGGTAAAGTAGCCTGTGGTCAACTTATCAGTGGACAACATCACAACTAGTCAGGTAAAGTAGCCTGTGGTCAACTTATCAGTGGACAACATCACAACTAGTCAGGTAAAGTAGCCTGTGGTCAACTTATCAGTGGACAACATCACAACTAGTCAGGTAAAGTAGCCTGTGGTCAACTTATCAGTGGACAACATCACAACTAGTCAGGTAAAGTAGCCTGTGGTCAACTTATCAGTGGACAACATCACAACTAATCAGGTAAAGTAGCCTGTGGTCAACTTATCAGTGGACAACATCACAACTAGTCAGGTAAAGTAGCCTGTGGTCAACTTATCAGTGGACAATATCACAACTTAAGCTCCAAATACTCATCATCTGTTTATTATGATTATGAATTTTGAAGAAACAGCCTTACGAAGGCAGTTTTATTGTGATTATTTTATTGTTTTATTTTATTGATAAATTCTTTCTATTTCATGCATCTTTCATTAAGTTACAGATTCCTAGATTTATGTCGTACAACCATTCCAATCCACCTTTTCTCATCCATCTGTTTTGGCCAGATCAATAGTGTGAAAAAATTCAAAGATTTGGTGTTGGAGTCAGGCCGCAGCGTAGAGGTCTCAGGGTCGCAGGGACTGAGCCTGAAGAGTCAGCGCCGGCTACACATGGCAGCAGCAGATATTTTCATTGGCTCACAGGTAAGTTCATGTTTGGTTGCATGCCTTTGGCTGCATGTTTGACTGATTTTTGTACCATATTTATTTTCTTCATCGTTTTTCACTCAAAATTGTAATGAGTTGAAGTAATTGTGTTAAACCTTTTTGCAATCAAAATGCCAATATCTAAGCAATAAACAGAGATTTTAAAATCATATTTTTTGTGTTATGCCAGCTCGCTTCAACTTTTTAAAACAAAAATTTGATTTCATTTTCTTCAAGTTTTCAACCACAAGCCTCACCCCCAAGAATGGCCTTCACCTTGATGGGAATGTACCGAGGGTGAGATCCGGAAGTCAGGTCAGCACTGACCTAGTGACCTACCAGCTGTGTGTTTGTGCCACAGGTCAGCTGTTTAAAGTTCGTGTCCATAAACCAGGACAGCTGTGTTCAGATGTTGGCAGTAACCTACTCACTGTGTGTGGGGCTGGCTCATAACTGTGTGTGGGAGGGGTGTGTGGGGCTGGCTCCTAGCTTGGTGTGGGATGGGTGTGTGTAGCTGGCTCCTAACTTTGTGTGTGTGGGGCTGGCTGTTAAGTTTGTGTGGGAGGGGTGTGTGGACTGACACCAAAATTTATTTTGGACTAATGTCTATCTGTATGATTGTATATTGCCTTATTTATATTCAATGTCGTATGTATGTACATGTTTGTTTTTGTAAATATATCATGCATGTGATTACATTTTTAAAAATAAAAAATTGTAAAACGGTTTTTAAAAGATTTTTTTTTTTATTTTAAACATAAAAAATGTTTGTTTTTTAATTTAAAAACATTGCATAATGTAAACTGAAACAAAATGAACTTAGCAAAAAAAAAAAAGTTATACAAGACAGCTACTGCACGTTGTTGTCTACGCTGTGTTCCTCCTTGCCCAGCCCGTCACATGCGTCAGGCTGCGTCTGTCTGTAGAACTCTTCCATGATGTCTGCCAGCTTGGCACTGCACTGACGCAAGGCCTTGACCTCACACTGACGTCGCTGGAATGTCACACTGGATAGATAAAATAAATGCACATTTTATTCCAGTTCAAACATTACAGGTGTTGACTGAATATTAAAGTCACAGCTAGAGCGGCAGATACTGAGATTCTCTGTTAGCTTCAAGTCAGAAACTTACAGGATTTTAAAAAAAAACTCCAGTCAGATAAACATTTTGTTGTTGATTTCATTCACAAAAATTATGGTAAAATTGTATGTCACTACATTTATGAGATTGCTTATAACAAAATATAAAATAATTTTTCTACCATTGTCTATAGTTTAAAAAGTGAAATTATGATGCCAACTAAATAATTACTCATTAATTATCTATAGATAGATTATGATAATTATTTTTTTCTGTTTCGTCTGGGCGTGCTCCGTGGAGGTGGGATGGAGGCAAATTCCTCCTCCCCCCCCCCCCCCCACCCCCAATTGAGAGTGCCTGAAAGAAACTCTGGTAAAATGACAAATACCTGCACAGCAAGGTCTCCATGGTGCTCTGTGACAGCTGCTCCGAGGGCGGGGCAAACTTCTTGACCACGCCCATGTAGAAAATGTAGTCGGCCATCTCGCTCTGGCACGAGGTCATCCTGACCTTGGACAGACAACTGAGCACGTCATCTCCCTTCTGCTCGATAGCTGGAGAATACATTCAGTGACACAATTATTGTGTGAGAAGACAAGTAGTGTGTCACATGGGTGTCACGTGGTGGTAAGAATGTATTGTTATTGATCGCTTCGTACAGCTTAGGTGGTACGCTGACAGGGGAGGCGACTACTGACCTGAAATGTTGGACAGGGGAGGTGACTACTGACCTGAAATGTTGGACAGGGGAGGTGACTACTGACCTGAAATGTTGGACAGGGGAGGCGACTACTGACCTGAAATGTTGGACAGGGGAGGTGACTACTGACCTGCAATGTTGGACAGGGGAGGTGACTACTGACCTGCAATGTTGGACAGGGGAGGTGACTACTGACCTGAAATGTTGGACAGGGGAGGTGACTACTGACCTGAAATGTTGGACGGGGGAGGCGACTACTGACCTGAAATGTTGGACAGGGGAGGTGACTACTGACCTAAAATGTTGAACAGGGGAGGTGACTACTGACCTGAAATGTTGGAGAGGGGAGGCGACTACTGACCTGAAATGTTGGACAGGGGAGGTGACTACTGACCTGAAATGTTGGACAGGTGAGGTGACTACTGACCTGAAATGTTGGACAGGTGAGGTGACTACTGACATGAAATGTTGGACAGGGGAGGCGACTACTGACCTGAAATGTTGGACAGGGGAGGCGACTACTGACATGAAATGTTGGACAAGGGAGGCGACTACTGACCTGAAATGTTGGACAGGGGAGGCGACTACTGACATGAAATGTTGGACAGGGGAGGCGACTACTGACCTGAAATGTTGGCACACAAGCCCTCGTAGGCGTGTAGAACCATTTGAGGGTCAAACAGCGACCCAACAACCTGAGCCATGGAGTCGGAGCTCTGTTTGATGCTGGTCTCCAGGCAACGGACAAAACCGTTCTTGTCCCTGAGTAACATAAAACAAGATACTTTCAATTACGAATTATGCCCCTCGGTTTAAATTGATATATTTCACTTGTGAACAACTAGCCAAAAAAAAAAATAATGCTTTTTTTCTGTCTGACAGCTCTTTATTTGGCGAGCGTGTAAAAACTTATCTGGCCACAACACTGTTAAACTTCGCTTACCCACAGATGGTAGTGAACAGTTTCATTATTGACAACTTCCTGTCTGCCTGCTCAGGTCGTGACGTCAGGTTTGCTACGCGAGTGCTGTTGACGCCATAACGTGTTTCATTCGAAAGTTCCTTCACACAGACCATGACGTCATTCCAAATGTTTGAGCCTCTGATTGGTGACGAACCGAAAACGAGACAGGCTGCCACAACTGAGAAATTGTTTAAAAAAAAAAAAGAAACTGGGGTGTGTTTGATCTTTATGAGTTGATTGTAATAACGAAAAGGGCATTGTGTCTGGCTAAGCCACTTGCGGACAAACGCCAACACACCTATTTTAAAGACAATCGCGGTAACTTTTATAATCTGAGTTATCGGCCGCTGGTAGGGACGCGTTAGTTGCTAGGGATGCTTCAGTTGCGAGGTACGCTTTAGTTGCTAGGTACGCTTTAGTTGCTAGGGGGCGAGTGTTATTAAAGACCAAGGACCAGCTGGGGGCGAAGATGCTTCCAGTTTTTTAAGGCCGCCTGCAAATAACACAATAATTTTACATACAATCTGTAGTATAGAACATAACCAACCACCCTTTGTGCTGAAATACTTTTCTATTTACAATCGGGCAGGAGCACAAGAAGAATATAAACAGGAAATTTGTTCGGCAGGCTACGAACGCCACATTTTGCGAACGTCTGCATCACAAAATTAAGTTCGCATTTCGATTCACCCACTATTTAAAGCGTTTGTTCAATGAGATAAAAAATTCGTCTATGACTTACTAGTAAAAATCCAATTAGAAATCATAGTTCCACAGTCACGTGACTTTTTAAAACTGAGCAAACGACATCCGTCCTATGGTCCAGCTCGCGACCTGCTAGCGCGCGGGTTTTTATACCGTCTTGTGGTTAAGCTGACTTCACACCTATACGTCAACAAACTATCCCAGCACGTGCTGTCTCGTGCTGACATGCGCACAAGGGCAGGTCCAACTGTATCGGCCTTAAACAAAGTTTTACTCTGATCTTTGTAAAATAAATCTTTTTTTCTTTTTAAATCCATACACGAAGAAGTCGAAACTTGTCCAAAAATATTGTTGTGTGTGATTGATTGTTATTCATTCAGCTCTCTTATTAAAAAAAAAAAACAACAACAAGAACAAAGAGGAAGCTATCCCGGGGCAGAACCCCCCCCCCCCCCAACTCGCGGCATTATCTTATTTCCCACACTTACCGTGGCCCCTCTCTAGAAACACCAAACAATCTTGGCGCATACCCACGCCGCCATGACACAGCCAATCACCCCCCCCCCCACAACCAAATCCTATGTGTCATTAGAAGGTTTACATGTTTCCTATATAACCGTAACCATGACAACCTCAAGGCTCCATATATACGCCCGTCCATGATTGAACAATTCTGAAGAGTTGATTTAAGAAAAAAATCAATCGATGCTTTGTTAACGTTTTAAAGCTGGGCTTCCTACCTACGAACCTACGATGTTATCATTTTCTCTCATCTGGCCTGCTGGTACAGTCTACTCAAAGTATTCACCTTTAAAACTATTATGTCATAGTATGACCAATGTTCCCTCTAAGGAAAAATTGTTAGTGTTCTAAAAGTCTTATACAAGGAAATAAGTATTTTACAAAATCACCGCGCAGCAGCTCAAAACTACAATCGCGCAGCTTAGAGGGAACACTGATTATGACTACCCAAAAAAGGCTGGGAATTCGGAGACCAAGATGTTTTTTAGACAGAACAATCTTGATTACATATATATATATATATATATGTCTGTATGAATATACATATATACTACATATAGGCGTACATAACACACCGGCCCCAATCCACGGAACAAACAGTCACACACACGAAGAGTAATGGTGTGAAATCACCTTTGACCCGAGTGTGAGGTTATGACAAAGGGAGAGAATTTAACAAAGGGTGACCACTCGTGTTGGAAAGTATAACACGTTAAATAAACAGATCAGCAAAATGTTGATACAGGACTGTAACAAGACACGTGACTGATTATCCAATGGGAAGCGGTGTTACAAGTCAAAACCTTTGTCCCACCATTCAAAGAATGTCTGACTTAACTGATGTGATCCCCACCTCACTACATCAGTTACAGTAACTAGTGAATCAACATGTTGGCCAAGTCCAGGCCTGGTACGGTCAAGCCAGCAGACGACAAATCCCAACATTCAGCAAACAAGCCACAGGCACTTCCTTGTGACATTAATCCTTGTGTAGGGGAGATAAAATAAATTAGTCCAAGTGATGCACAAGAAATATTTCAGTGAGTTTTCTCCCTTACACTAGAAAAAAATCTATTGTTATTCAGGATAATCATTCGATCAAATAATCTTAAAAAATTATTTATACCAGTACACACGCTAAAACAGAGGGGCCTAATTATTATTTTCAGGTTGCTGTCTGCAGAAATCTATCTTACAGTTTTTAGTCTGCCTGTAGAGTATGATCATCCAACCAAATTTTGATTATGATTCATGATTGTCACACAAAATGTGACTCCACAACCAAGTTTCAGTTGATAAAGCAAGCTAATGAATTATTCCATCAAAAAAACTAACACGTTATAAACCAAACCCGGTGATAATGAATTAACACTTTAATTATTTTTGTACATAAACCTGCATTAACATTAGACATAAAAATCTTATTAAAAAACATAAAAAGGGCATTGAATATCAACCACACAACAACACTGCCAATCTTGAAAAACCTAACAAATGTACACCTGTAAATACATATATCCTCATCCTTCACATGATTCACACATCAACACAATATGGTCAAAAATAAATCATAAAAGTAAAAGCATGAATGCGATTGAAATGAGATTGTAACGGCCACTGATTTTAATGTTTTTATTTCTTGTCATCAACCCAATGTTTCTAGTAGGTGTGCTCTTGTTAAAGCTTGCAGTTCTTGGAGTGTGTAATCTTCAGGCATAGGTAACTCAGAAATAAATTGGCTTAGTAATCTACAAGAAAAAAAATATTAAAAATCTATATGGGAATGTTAACCTAAGGGTTGTACATAACTAGAATTGGGGGTACAGTCAGACACCTCAACACACCTGGTACAGTCACACACCTCAACACACTTGGTACAGTCACACACCTCAACACACCTGGTAGTCACACACCTCAACACACCTGGTACAGTCAGACACCTCAACACACCTGGTACAGTCAGACACCTCAACACACCTGGTAGTCACACACCTCAACACACTTGGTACAGTCACACACCTCAACACACCTGGTACAGTCACACACCTCAACACACCTGGTACAGTCAGACACCTCAACACACCTGGTAGTCACACACCTCAACACACTTGGTACAGTCACACACCTCAACACACCTGGTACAGTCACACACCTCAACACACCTGGTACAGTCAGACACCTCAACACACCTGGTACAGTCAGACACCTCAACACACCTGGTACAGTCAGACACCTGGTACAGTCAGACACCTCAACACACCTGGTACAGTCACACACCTCAACACACCTGGTACAGTCACACACCTCAACACACCTGGTACAGTCACACACCTCAACACACCTGGTACAGTCAGACACCTGGTACAGTCAGACACCTGGTACAGTCAGACACCTGGTACAGTCACACACCTCAACACACCTGGTACAGTCAGACACCTCAACACACCTGGTAGTCACACACCTCAACACACCTGGTACAGTCACACACCTCAACACACCTGGTACAGTAACACACCTCAACACACCTGGTACAGTCACACACCTCAACACACCTGGTACAGTCACACACCTGGTACAGTAACACACCTGGTATGTTCATCTCTTACCTGACAGGTGATTCTCCACGTAGAGCCAAATATGCCCTCAACAAATGGGCAGAAGTTTTTGCCATTTCTGCCTGACAGAGCCTGTCTTTTGAGTTGTGGCAGGTCAGCATTTTGACGCGAGTACACAAGGACATGACGTCAGGCTGTAGTTCCTCCAGGTCGTATGGAGTGGGCTGGGACTAGAACATGGACAATTCATTAGTGGGCTGGGACTAGAACAATTCATTAGTGGGCTGGGACTAGAACATGGACAATTCATTAGTGGGCTGGGACTAGAACAATTCATTAGTGGGCTGGGACTAGAACATGGACAATTCATTAGTGGGCTGGGACTAGAAATGAGTGGGTTGGGACTAGAACATGGACAATTCATTAGTGGGCTGGGACTAGAACAATTCATTAGTGGGCTGGGACTAGAACATGGACAATTCATTAGTGGGCTGGGACTAGAACAATTCATTAGTGGGCTGGGACTAGAACATGGACAATTCATTAGTGGGCTGGAACTAGAACAATGCATTAGTGGGCTGGGACTAGAACATGGACAATTCATTAGTGGGCTGGGACTAGAACAATGCATTAGTGGGCTGGGACTAGAACATGGACAATTCATTAGTGGGCTGGGACTAGAACATGGACAATTTATTAGTGGGCTGGGACTAGAAATGAGTGGGCTGGGACTAGAACATTGACAATTCATTAGTGGGCTGGGACTAGAACAATTCATTAGTGGGCTGGGACTAGAACATGGACAATTCATTAGTGGGCTGGGACTAGAACAATGCATTAGTGGGCTGGGACTAGAACATGGACAATTCATTAGTGGGCTGGGACTAGAACATGGACAAATAATAAGTGGGCTGGAACTAGAACAATGCATTAGTGGGCTGGGACTAGAACATGGACAATTCATTAGTGGGCTGGGACTAGAACAATTCATTAGTGGGCTGGGACTAGAAATGAGTGGGCTGGGACTAGAACATGGACAATTCATTAGTGGGCTGGGACTAGAACATGGACAATTCATTAGTGGGCTGGGACTAGAACAATTCATTAGTGGGCTGGGACTAGAACAATTCATGAGTGGGCTGGGACTAGAGGCACTAGCAAGTAATTAAGCTAGGGCTAGAGGCAATCATCAAATGTTTACCTGCTTGAGTTCTTCTATACGTTTGCGTAGCTTGATGAAGTCCAGGAAAACTTTTCCGTTGTTGGCCCAGTTCAGGATGCCACTACACCTGCCTGATGGAGCCATCACGTCCAGGAACAGCTTCAGGTGCTCATCATCGTCTGCTCAACAAACACAGGTCAAGGGTCAGGTGTCACAGGGTCAACAAAGTTTGTCTAAGGTTGCATACTTACAAGGTCAACAAATACAGGTCAAAGGTCAGGTCTCACAGGGTCAACAAAGTATTCTACAGTTGCATCCTTACAAGGGCAACAAACACAGGTCAAGGGTCAGGTCTCACAAGGGCAAGAAAGTTTGTCTAAGGTTGCATGCTTACAAGGTCAAGTCTCACAGGGTCAACAAAATATTAAAAAACAGGTGTCAAGTTCCGGTCAGCCAAATATGAACAAATCACCTTTGAAGTGACCCTAAACAAAGCGATGAGAAAGTCAAAAGATGACTGACCATTAATGATGGCATCAGCTGCTATATGTCTGATGACCACTGAGTGGCCTAGGTTGTAGTGACCAGCCAGTAGCCAATGCTGAGCCTCTGCCTCGTGGTTGCCTTCTTGTCTTGCTCGGATGGCCTGAGGTGATCAGAAATTTTAATCTTACAGGTCAAGGTGACTACCTGGTGCATCATGTTTAGTACATCCTCATTGTTTTTTCAAGGTGATGACAGTGACCTTAGCCTGATGCAGCCACTTGACCCCTCCCCTGGATGTGACCCCTCCCCTGGATGTGACCCCACCCCTGGATGTGACCCCACCCCTGGATGTGACCCCACCCCTGGGATGTGACCCCACCCCTGGATGTGACCCCACCCCTGGATGTGACCCCACCCCTGGATGTGACCCCACCCCTGGATGTGACCCCACCCCTGGATGTGACCCCACCCCTAGAGTGACCCCACCCCTGGATGTGACCCCTATAAACAACCTACCTTAGCCTGGTGCAGCCACTTGACTGGTATGTTGAGTTTCTCCACCAGAAAAGTTTCCTGGTTGGTCAGCACCTCCCCCACCTGCAGGTGGCGCTGGAGCAGGCTGAGCGTGGCGTTGTACCTGTGGAAGCTGTCCTTGATGTGGAGCAGGACAAAAGCTGCCCAGTGCCAGAGACCTTGAGCCTCCAGCTGTGAGGCGTAGTTGACGTGGATGCTGTCTGTGTGGTGGGTAGACAGGTGCTTGTACTGCAGGGCTTCAAGGATCTCTAGGAGATGCCAACTGGGGAGAGATAGACAGGACACATTAGGACAGGGACACACAGGACACATTAGGACAGGGACACATAGGACACATTAGGACAGGGACACACACAAGACATTAGGGGAGGGACACACAGGACATTAGGGAAGGGACACACACACTCATCATTATTAAAAATAAATATTTATCATCTTCTGAAAAAAAATTTTCTAACAGAAACTTTAAAAATAAATTCATTTTTTTACATGAGACACTAATTAGTGTAACCACTTACCTGAATCTGTAGTCTAGGTGTACATGTGAAACTAATTGGTGTAACGACATACCTGAGCCTGTAGTCTAGGTGTGAGACTGTTGAAGACGTAGGTGAGAGCAAATCTTCCAGCCCGTAAGTTCTGTCAGCGTACAGACACAGCAAATGGTAGGCAGTGTCAAAAATCTTCTCACTGCTGTCTAGACTGTCCTGGCTTTCCTCCTCCAGGTAGGGGGGTAGTGGTGCAGCGCAGTACGGCTGGCTGTGTTCGTCTCCTTGAAAGCCCTGCTGGTACTGGCGTAATGCCTGCTGTACTGATGAGTTGGGTGGGCACTTGAACCTGCTCACACAATCACAAACATGAGAAACATCTCCAACAACCTTTTTTGTATTCTAAACCAGACAAAATAATAAATGCTGCCATATGCTAATTAACTTTACAATCAAATCTCCTTTTTTTGTTACCACTTTTTAAACTAATTAAGAGTGTAGGCTTTCAAACATCCAACAATTAAGTTAACGCAGGTGATATCTATAACAAGATATTAGCCCCCATGTTCCAGTAAATAAAAACTGACCACAGATGTAATGCCAGAGATCTCTTCCAATCCAACTTTTCACACGTGTTGATTTCCTGGTCTTTAGAGTACCAAACCAGCTGGCCAGCCAACAAACAGTAGATCTTTTGGCGAACTTTGCTGATAAACTGGGAGGCCTGGTCAGTTCAATAAAATAAAATCTTCTTAAGTTCTAATGGATAATTAAAACTAAAACTTGCATAATATAGAACTAGAACTTGTATGACATAGAACTAGAACTTGTATGACATAGAACTAGAACTTGTATCACATAGAACTAGAACTTGTATCACATAGAACTAGAACTTGTATGACATAGAACTAGAACTTGTATCACATAGAACTTGTACAAACCTCCAACTCGGCCCATTTTTGAAGCTGCATCATGAGCATCTGTCTTGAGGCCGTGCTGCCAATGGCCTGGGCCAACAGTAAGGCCAGGCGGTGGTCCCTGTTTCTTTGGGCCAGGAAACAGGCCTCAGATATTTCCCTCACAGTCAGCTTAGAAAATATTGCCTGTAAACAATCCTCAGCTCCCTAGAAGAGAGAAAATATTGCCTGTAAACAATCCTCAGCTCCCTAGAAGAGAGAAAATATTGCCTGTAAACAATCTTCAGCTCCATAGAAGAGAGAAAATATTGCCTGTAAACAATCTTCAGCTCCCTAGAAGAGAGAAAATATTGCCTGTAAACAATCTTCAGCTCCCTAGAGGAGAGAAAATATTGCCTGTAAACAATCTTCAGCTCCCTAGAGGAGAGAAAATATTGCCTGTAAACAATCCTCAGCTCCCTAGTAGAGAGAAAATATTGCCTGTAAACAATCCTCAGCTCCCTAGAAGAGAGACTAATTTTCAAGCTCAAACTGGTCTAAGCCATTGCCACCTCCCACTAATTACTCTCGTTTGAGATCATTATACATATTACAGGTGATAATAAAACCATTTTAATGATGCCTGAAATAAGCTGCCTGAGTAATAGTGCGATCATGTTTTGTATCTTAACTAGTGGCAGAACTAGGAATGCCCACATTTTAAAATATATTTATATTAGTAGACTTACTAAATTTGAAATTAAACCATTTATTAATTTATAACCTATTTCATTGTAAAGTATATCCATCGTGAGACAACAAACAACACTGAAATAGTCTCAAACTCACTTTGGGCCTAAAGCGATTGGGTTTAAAAATGTTTTTAATCTCACTTTATGCCAGCAGAAAGTTATAAATAGTGTAACTTCTTATCTGGCAAATCAGTCAAAAGAATATAAACTTGAAATGTGTAATGGTTTCTTGTGTTTGTTTTATTCTTTTCTTTTTTGTATTTATAATATTTATTTTGAATAAATTCCTTTTAATATTTATGTCATTCTTCAGTGTGCCTAATTTAAATAATAATTAAGAGAAGTAATTTGTTTTCAATTTGCTTAGGAACAAATTATTTACCTGGCTTTATATTATTTATAATAGACTATTTAAAGCAATATTATTTTTTTGTTCGGATTATTATTATTACCTTATTATTTCATACAGTTGGGACTATTCCTAGCATTACTATACTGGGTTAAGTTGAAAGGTAGGATTAGATTTAAGGTTAATTTGTAATTAAAAAGGACAGCAGTAGTGAGCTCTAGTGCTACTTACAATGGCATGTGTTTCCATCTCCGTGGCCACTTTACTGGCCCCAGTCTCAGACAGCCACTGGGATAAAGCTTCCCTCCGCAGCTGGCGTTCACGATAAATGTCTTCTTTCTCTGGAAAAGTCAAATTTTGTCGTCTTATTTTATGTTCTTCATCTAGGAAAGTTATTAAAATGAACTTATTCTGTGTGAAACAGCATGAATAAAAAGTCACCTAAATCTTGAGCATCCGGCAGCTCTCCCCAAAGGGCGACACACAGGCTCAACACCATCTGGATGTGTTGTTGAACTTTGGCATCTGGGTGGGCACCTGGTCAAATACAAGGGCATTTCAGACAAATACAAAGGCATTTCAGACAAACTTAAGGGCATTTCAGAAACTGTTAGGTCATTGATAAACTATAACAACAGTTACCAATACCAGTACCAAGAATATGTGCCATATTTTTAAATACTATGGTGACATTAACCAAAAACTTACTCATGTCAGACAGGCCAGCTGTGACAAAATCTGCCAGTTTGTGTAATGCTGTGACCCCAGGTTGTGGAACAAAGATTGGACACTCGTCCTCTGTGTCTGTTAGAGAATGTTCTAGTTGAATCTTCAGCAGCTCCTCCTGCTGTACCTGTAGGCCAGAGACACAACGGTCAAATACATGGGGAAACAGACCAATGGTAAAATACATAAGGCCGCAAACTGACCAGTGGTCAAATACATGGGGCAGCATACTGACCAGCGGACAAATACATGGGGAAACAAACTGACCAGTGGTCAAATACATGGGGCCACAAACTGACCAGTGGTCAAATACATGGGGCAGCATACTGACCAGTGGTCAAATACATGGGGAAACAAATTGACCAGTGGTCAAATACATGGGGCCACAAACTGACCAGTGGTCAAATACATGGGGCAGCATACTGACCAGTGGTCAAATACATGGGGAAACAAACTGACCAGTGGTCAAATACATGGGGCCACAAACTGACCAGTGGTCAAATACATGGGGCAGCATACTGACCAGTGGTCAAATACATGGGGCTGCAAAGTTAAAAGCTGACCAGTAGTTTAAAGTATAATGTTACTGTCACAAACTGACCAGTGGTTAAATACATGGGACAGGAAAGTTAAAAACTGACCAGTGTTTTAGCATCCCTCTCATCCAGATAATCCACGACCTTGATCTTTTCTATGTGCGCTGTCCAGCTTTTAAGCTGGGAGTGTGTTTTGGCACGACCGTGAGCGTAGGGCAAGAGAGAAGGTTCCATGGATTCTTCATCTGAAACAAATTATTTGTATAGGCATGATTACAGACTGCACTGATAGAGCTCATTCCATTGTTTGTTCTCCATGTGTGCTGGTTTAATAAAAATGGTTTAAAAAAAAATATAAAAAAATCTATTCAGTTCAAACTACCAATCTCTGAATTTAGACCCACCTAAAAAGATTACCCTAAAATATAATTAACCTGCAGTTTTATTACAATAAATTCATTAGGAAAACTTTTTTCCCACTAGGTCTAAATGTTATTTGTCCTTCTCTTTCCTCACAAGGACAACTTGGCCAGTTACAGACTGTACAGCCCTGGTTGACCTAACATGTCAGACTTGTTAAGGTGGTCAGTAACAATATACACAGGTGCAGGTAAAAGCTGACACCAATGTTTTTTTAAAGAGGGTAAAACTATCTGTGTCTACCTGTAGCAGCCATCAAGGTAAAACTATCTGTGTCTACCTGTAGCAGCCATCAAGGTAAAACTATCTGTGTCTACCTGTAGCAGCCATCAAGCTCCCAGCATGGACAATGGTTAAAGATGGCCCCCAGCCCACTCTGAATGACCTCCCCTTGAAGCAGGCAGCATCCACCAGAGGCTGCTGGTTCCTGTAGAGCAGAGAGTCCTTGACGTGCAGGATGTTGTGGCGCACCAGGGTGCCCACAATACGGGGCGGGGCGTCCTGTGGCTGTAGTCCACTGGGGATCAGCTTGTGCTCCATGATGGGGGGGTACAGGAATGTTTGGGGCTTTGGGCGGAGTAATTCTTTACCAGTACCCATCTCAAATTGACCTAATTAAAAATAAGATTACCTTATTAAAAGTTTTAAATTAGGATTCTTACACATTACTGAAAACAGGTCAGAGTTAGCTCCATAAAAAATTTAATAACTATATTTTCATGAAAGACATTGACTAAAACAGTAAAAATTTCAATTTTTTTTTCCTAAAAAATCAAAACAAAGACAAATAAATAAGGAATTAAAACTTGTGAATACTAATGGTTTAAACAAATTTGGATCTTTGTTAAGATTAACCATAAGCTGTCAGTTTACCTGGCTTTCCAAAGGAGACAGGCTCATAACCCTCTTTCTCTTTGTCGGAGAAGGCTGGAGACTGGGGCAGAGACAACGTGGCAGGGTGCTTGAAGGACCCAAACAAGCCAGGCTTGTCGCCAGATTTTTTCCAGGGTGATCTCAACTCCATCAGTTCATCATCGTAGTCTCGCTTTAACTGCTGCTCTCTCTTCCTGGGTGGGTCTAGAGGAAATGTTGGCTTTTAGTGGACTCAACTTTTAACAGCTTGGTAACAGAAATAAACTAATGGAAACTGATACTTGGTAATTAATGACGTCAGATAAGTATTTGTTAGACAATAAAAATTGCTAACAATAATTTTAGACATAACTGATCCAAAATATGACAAATAGAAAAATTTAAAAAAAAAAGTTATATAAATAAATGTTTGAACAAAAAAAAGTCTTTGAAACAGCAAACTTTAAAGATAAATATAGAACAACAGATTCATGACTTGGATTTTTAGCAAGTAAAAACTTGAACAAACCAAATCTAACAACTTAAGAATGAATTCAAACTAAACCCAAACAGAAAAATAAATTGTATGTAACACTAGTGGTTCTTGGTAGAATTTTATTCAGGCGCTCTCCGCTTCAACAGCATGTTTCCAGAGTTTAGTTTAAAAAAAAATTAACATTCATCAGAGTTCCTCTTCACAACAACTCTTACTAGAGGTTATTTTGTTTTGGTAATAAAAACCACAAAAATTAGAAAATACACACACCTAATGGCATATTTAAAACCTTTGGTAAAAAACTGAAGACAGAAATCAGTATCAGGATAAACATTGGTCAAATATTACAAGACTGAAGTGAGCAAAGGGAAGCAATGTGACATGAGCATTATGTCCCCTAGATTGTGATCCAAGAGCCCCTGCAGCAGTGGTGCAGAACAAACAAACTACCTGGAAAATCTGACAGCTCATCACAAAAGAAGGAGGCCTTCATGCTCTGGATGTTTTTCACACTGATTCCCATGCTTGATGCCAGATACTTTGAGTCCAAGCCTGTATCTAAGAAAAGATTTTTTAAAGTTAGTACTGCAATACAATGTTTCAACAGATAATAAACTTACATGCTACTATTTAAACATAATATTTAACAAAGCAATGGACTGATTAAACGACTTATGATTTCTAGGATTCACCTTCCATGTCCTCAAAGTTTTTGGAGAACTTCTTGAGTCCATCTTCTTGGCTGTCCTGCATGTCATAGCTGGTGTCATCATCACACAGGTCATCTGGCAACATGTCCTGGTCATCTAGCAACTACAAACAGACAAGAGGTCATCTAGTAACTACAAACAGACAAGAGGTCATCTAGTATCTGCAGACAAGAGGTCATCTAGTATCTGCAGACAAGAGGTCATCTAGTATCTACAGACAAGAGGTCATCTAGTATCTGCAGACAAGAGGTCATCTAGTATCTACAGACAAGAGGTTATCTAGTATCTACAGACAAGAGGTTATCTAGTATCTACAGACAAGAGGTCATCTAGTATCTACAGACAAGAGGTCATCTAGTAACTACAAACAGACAAGAGGTCATCTAGTATCTACAGACAAGAGGTCATCTAGTAGCTACATGCAGACAAGAGGTCATCTAGTAACTACAAACAGACAAGAGGTCATCTAGTATCTACAGACAAGAGGTCATCTAGTAGCTACATGCAGACAAGAGGTCATCTAGTAACTACAAACAGACAAGAGGTCATCTAGCAACTAGAAACAGACAAGAGGTCATCTAGTATCTGCAGACAAGAGGTCATCTAGTATCTACAGACAAGAGGTTATCTAGTATCTACAGACAAGAGGTTATCTAGTATCTACAGACAAGAGGTCATCTAGTAACTACAGACAAGAGGTCATCTAGTAACTACAGACAAGAGGTCATGTAGTAGCTACATGCAGACAAGAGGTCATGTAGTAGCTACATGCAGACAAGAGGTCATCTAGTAACTACAGACAAGAGGTCATCTAGTAACTACAGACAAGAGGTCATGTAGTAGCTACATGCAGACAAGAGGTCATGTAGTAGCTACATGCAGACAAGAGGTCATCTAGTAACTACAGACAAGAGGTCATGTAGTAGCTACATGCAGACAAGAGGTCATCTAGTAACTACAGACAAGAGGTTATCTAGTAGCTACACGCAGACAAGAAGTCATTTAGCAACTAGAAACAGACAAGAAGTCATTTAGCAGCTACAACCAGACAAGAGGTCATCATGTTTTTCTCATCTAACAACCAGATACAGACATTGTTGCTGTATACAAGTCTAGTCCTACACATTTCAAGTCTGGATCTCAGAAAAAGGACACATCTGGCCTATAGATATGAGATCTAGCTAATTATTTAATGAATGTCTCACCTGAGTGTCACCTTTAACACCTGAAAGTTTCAGTTTCTTGGCCTCTTCTTGTTTTTCTACCTGCTGCACTTTCAGTTTCTGTAAAAACAATTGTGAGTTAGATCTAACATTCAAATACAATTAACTCTGTCCTTAGCCAAATAATTTCTTATTTTCTACTTGATGGTGGGTTGTCAAAAATGAGAGAGAGTGTTCCCCATCTGTGTCTGTACCTGCACTAAGAGAAGATCTTTAGCTTGTTGTCCTAGCAACTGTTGGTCAATGAGATCATCATCTGAATCATCCAGTAAACCATACTTGGAAAAGTGATTCACCTGCAAGAAACATGGACGTGGATGTATACATTTATTTGTACATTTCTACTCACTCAAAGGCTAGCTGTACACACATAAACATGGATGTACTAGTTTGAGCATAAAGCATTAACTTGAAAACTACCTTAAAATTGTGCTGCTAAAAGCCAAAATTAACTTAAAATTTCAAACTGTTGTATAAATTTATTCTAACAATAAAGCCCAAGGATAAAGTTGAGAAAGTTCCAGTAGAACTGTGCTGTGTAAACAAACCTGAAACACCCAGGAGCCTGTCTCAGGCCTGTAGTCAATAAATTTGGCACCAATTTTGGCAGTGACAGCTTCCAGCTTGGAGACATAATCCAGCTCTTTTAGTCGCTTTGGGCTCTGGAAAAAAAGGACTATTACTTACAAACAGCTGACATTAATGGGAGTGGGGCTAGTTTTATTAACTGACCTTTATGGGAGTGGGGCTAGTTTTATTAACTGACCTTTATGGGAGTGGGGCTAGTTTTATCAACTGACCTTAATGGGAGTGCGGCTAGGTTTATCAACTGACCTTAATGGGAGTGCGGCTAGTTTTATCAACTGACCTTAATGGGAGTGCGGCTAGTTTTATCAGCTGGCCAGACACAGTCCAGCGTGATCTCAGCCTTTCTGTTCAGACCTTCACCCAGCGGAGGCTTCTTGTCATCATCAGGGTAGACAACTATCTCCTTCCTTCTGAAGTGGACTGGAAAACAATTGTATGACAAAGTTGGTTGCTAGGGGAAACAATTGTATGACAAAGTTGGTTGCTAGGGGAAACAATTGTATCCCATAGTCAGTTGCTAGGGGAAACAATTGTATGACATAGTTGGTTGCTAGGGGAAACAATTGTATGACAAAGTTGGTTGCTAGGGGAAACAATTGTATCCCATAGTCAGTTGCTATGGGAAACAATTTTATGACATAGTTGGTTGCTAGGGGAAACAATGTAACTTTTGCAGCATGTGGTTGCCGTACAGGTGTAGGTTATAAGATGTGGAATGTTGTATAGTGAGGCAAGCAGTTGTATGAAATATTTGTTTACCTATCTTGAGGCTAGCAGTTAGATGAATAAATTTGTTTACCTTTCTTGAGGCTAGCAGTTAGATGAATAAATTTGTTTACCTTTCTTGAGGCTAGCAGCTAGATGAATAAATTTGTTTACCTATCTTGAGGCTAGCAGTTAGATGAATAAATTTGTTTACCTATCTTGAGGCTAGCAGTTAGATGAATAAATTTGTTTACCTTTCTTGAGGCTAGCAGTTAGATGAATAAATTTGTTTACCTATCTTGAGGCTAGCAGTTAGATGAATAAATTTGTTTACCTATCTTGAGGCTAGCAGTTAGATGAATAAATTTGTTTACCTTTCTTGAGGTTAGCAGTTAGATGAATAAATTTGTTTACCTATCTCATCCAAGTTGAGGCCAGCAACGTTGGTCACCCCAGGGAAGTAGACGTTGCCGTACCCTTCCCTGCCAATGCTGAAATCTGGCACAAAACAATCGCCATTGTCATCTATCATCTGGGTCATCTCGTCAAGGGTAGGGTTGGTGTAGTAGCCAGGCCGTGTCAGGCAGATCCCAGTGGGGTGGGGAGTGCTTCTGTCTACAGGCTGAAAGTGGACAACATTGCCTTCATAAGCTCCTTACCCACACATCTTACACATTTAATTTCAATGGCACTAATTTCAATGCCACTGGCCCTAATTTCAATGCCACTGGCCCAAATTTCAATGCCACTGGCCCTAATTTCAATGCCACTGGCCCTAATTTCAATGCCACTGATGCAAGTTAAAATGGTGCCCTACTGACCAGACAACTGCTGTCCAGATCTGAGTTGTCAAGAAAGGAAGTTGTGTCTGCTGCACTCAGCCTGTTCTCTATGGGGTTAATGGAGCTGCTCCTTGGGTTGAGGACTGCCATTGTGTCCTCAAAACTGCCATTTCTGTCAAGGTAAAGAGTTATCAAAACATCTGACAAATCAAATAAAAAATATATGCTGTAAAAGATCTAACAAATCAAATAAAAAAATATATGCTGTAAAAGATCTAACAAATCAAATAAAAAATATATGCTGCAAAAGATTTAACAAAGAAAATTGAAAAATATATGCTGTAAAAGATCTAACAAATCAAATAAAAAATATATGCTGTAAAAGATCTAACAAATCAAATAAAAAATATATGCTGTAAAAGATCTAACAAATCAAATAAAAAAATATATGCTGTAAAAGATCTAACAAATCAAATAAAAAAATATATGCTGTAAAAGATCTAACAAATCAAATAAAAAAATATATGCTGTAAAAGATCTAACAAATCAAATAAAAAATATATGCTGTAAAAGATCTAACAAATCAAATAAAAAATATATGCTGTAAAAGATCTAACAAATCAAATAAAAAATTATATGCTGTAAAAGATCTAACAAATCAAATAAAAAATATATGCTGTAAAAGATTTAACAAACTGAATAAACAAAAAATATGCCGTAAAAGATCTAATAGAAAAAAACTTACGGTCTGTCCATCCTATTTTTTGGAGTTGTATTCTGTCCAAGAATGATCCCCTCGGCTTCATTATCTAACGTGTTATCATGGTTGGAGTTGCTCAGTGGCCTGGAAAAGTTATCAACAAGAACTTACATTTACTAAACATTTTTAAAAAAATTATCAGTGACCCCTTTCTGACTATAATGTAAGGGTTCATACTTCTTTTTAGAAATAGGATGCCACAGTAATATCTACAGTAAGCCAGGATTAGACCAGAGTGTGGATTACCTTGTGATTAGGCCTGTTGATGTCTCCTTGCTGCTGTGCATCAGCTGCTGACTAAAGTCCCCATCACTGTAGACAGAGTTTGAGGCTGAGGCTGACTTGTTTCCTTTCTTTAAGACCAGCTTCTTCACACTCTTCCTGGGCACAAAAGTGTCCTCACCAAAGCTGAAGTCTTCGTCCTCCAATCCTTCAAACAGCTGCGCCTGGAAACAAACAGTTTCTTATTTCATTTCAAGTAGGACTACAGAAATTAAAAAAAACAACAGAACAATACAAGTCTATAAACAGAAAACCTTATAAACTGGGGTAATAATAATCCAAAACAGCATGACTAATTAGCTTGTAATGAAGCTTACCTTCCCACCAGCTATGAGATTGTGTAAAGATTTTGGTTTAATCTTGGTTGCTGGCCTTGGGCTGACTTTGTACTGGTTGATGGAGGATAAAGCAGCTTTCTGTGCATTAGGGTTTGTGGGCTTCAGAGCATCATCTCTGCGCTCTTTGCTTTGCTGGAATAAATCAAGGGAAAACAGTTGAAGGGCGTCCACACATTGGGCCACTGTTGGACACACAAGGTGAGGAGAATTCCAAGGCCTACCTGTTTAAGGTTCCAGAACAACGGGTTGTCTCCATAAGGTGAGGATGCCAGCGCAAGAAGGTGCTGAGTGTTTTGGGCCTGGGATGTAGCGGACACCCTGAAACAACAAGTCAGCCATCTTGAATGAAAGAGTCAGACATCTTAAAATGCTCATCATGACACTCAAACTGAAGTTTCAATGCACACAGCAACCAAGTTTACTTCCACAATCAAGGGAACTGAATGCTGTCACTACAGTAAGTTTATACTCACGAGGTGCCTAAAGGTGCTGTTCCACTCAAGTTAAATGTCCCTGCACCCAGCCCTGTAGTCAGAGGGCTTCCAAAAGCTGGTTCAAAGGGATTTAATAATATTAACAACAGAACAAAATAGAGAAATAAAAAGAAATGAATGTTCCAGTTTTTACTAGGACTTTGGTGGCAGAGCCAAAGTTGAGCCCCCAATCCTCCCTGCCCAAATGCAGGCTTAGCTGAGCCAAAGTTGACCCCCACCCTTATGAAGGCATAGCTGGCCAGGTCTTACCTGGTGTTCCCGTGGTGGTTGAGCCAAAGTTGAACCCCCCAAATGCAGGCTTAGCTGCAGCAGTTCCAAATGTGCTGATGCCTGTACTGGGGGTGGTACCAAACCCAAAGCTGGTGCCAGTGGAGCCTAGCCCGGTGGTGGTGGTGCCGAACCCCCCAGGTTTCATGTTGAAGAGGCCGGTGCCTGTGGAAGCTAACAAGTGGTACATCTTTTATTACATCAGCTAACCACTGCTACCAGTTTTTTTATCTAACTAAACTTTTTTATTAGCATAGTTGAAAAAATTAGTAGATAATAGATTTAAAAAAAAAATGCATTAAAAATGTGTATATTTTTAAAATACAAAACGTAAAGAGAAACATTAAAGTAAGATGTCTAACTGAACTTACTACCAAAGGCTGTAGAGCTTGTGTTAGTACCAAACCCAAAGGAAGACGCAGTGGACGCAGGCTTAGCAAACAAACTAGTCCCAGTGCCAAACCCTATAGATGAGGTGGTCGCTGTCCCAAAGGCTGGTGGCTTGTTGGTTCCAAACAAGCCTCCCTGAAACAGACAAGATCATTAGACACTTGAAAACATACAGGTAAAAGGTAGCTCAACTTAGCAGGAACCAGTAGCTACACATAACAGGTAAAATAATAAACATTATGGATGTTTATCTTTTACAAAAAAAAATTCAGGAAAAGCCACACAAATTTTGTTTGCAGATGATCCATGGCATAATGATATTTAAGGTTGCTGTTGAAGGCTTTTACTTTTAATTACTACAGAAATGCAAGCAAATTTCATGTTTTTTGTTTTAAAATTACAATATGTTGGACAAACTTTAAATTTTCTGACACTATAGTTTAATCTCAAATTTTAGGTTTTCTGACAATTTAAATTGTCAGCTAAAAAAGATAACTCATGTGATTTTAATAACACAAGGTGGGCAATTTAAAGTGGACATTGTATCATCTGAGCAACCCCATAAATATGCCCCCCCCCCCCCACCGAAGTTCCATCTCCTACTACTCACACTTTGAGTGCTGGTGCCAAATCCTATAGAATTTGTGGATGTGCCAGCCGCAGGGGCCCCAAAGAAAGAACTTCCTGTTGAGAGAGAGGGCTGGGCTGTTCCTGTACCGCCAAACAAGGGCTGAGGACATGACATAAAACATCAACACCAATGTTTACAATAATCTAGTACAAATAAGGGCTGAGGACATGACATAAAACATCAACACCAATGTTTACAATAATCTAGTACAAATAAGGGCTGAGGACATGACATAAAACATCAACACCAATGTTTACAATAATCTAGTACAAATAAGGGCTGAGGACATGACATAAAACATCAACACCAATGTTTACAATAATCTAGTACAAATAAGGGCTGAGGACATGACATAAAACATCAACACCAATGTTTACAATCATCAATTGTCATCACACAAAAATAATTACATACAACGACTGTAAATTGATTAAATATAATGTATTCCCCAGGACAAAATAAAATTTCTGGCCACAATAAGGCAATGCACATAAAGTTATTTATATTTTATCAGATTATTAAATAATCAATGGAAACCTTCCTTAGCTGTGTAAACCTTCCTTAGCTGTGTAAACCTACCCTAGCAGTGTAAACCTACCCTAGCAGTGTAAACCTACCCTAGCAGTGTAAACCTACCCTAGCAGTGTAAACCTACCCTAGCAGTGTAAACCTACCCTAGCAGTGTAAATCTACCCTAGCAGTGTAAACCTACCCTAGCAGTGTAAACCTACCCCAGCAGTGTAAACCTACCCTAGCAGTGTAAACCTACCCTAGCAGTGTAAAACTACCCTAGCAGTGTAAACCTTCCTTAGCTGTGTAAACCTACCCTAGCAGTGTAAACCTACCCTAGCAGTGTAAACCTACCCTAGCAGTGTAAACCTACCCTAGCAGTGTAAACCTACCCTAGCAGTGTAGTAAACCTACCCTAGCAGTGTAAACCTACCCTAGCAGTGTTACCAAACAGGGAAGTAGCCTGCTGGGTACCAGTGGAGGTACCAAAACTGAAGCCGGATGACTGGGTGGTGGTCGCTGTACCAAACAAAGGTCTACTGAATGTTGATGGTGTTGCGCTGCTGGTCCCGCCAAACCCTGTAGAAAACACCACAGAGGTCATTAAGCACACATAAACACAACAGCAGGATAGCCTGCAGTCACCAATACTAGTGTTTACACCAGGGGTCTCCAAACTACGGCCCGCGGGCCGGATGCGGCCCGCGAGGTCCTCTCATCCGGCCCGTGGAGATCTTTTTGTCCACGGAAAAAAACGTTTGTTGGTGATGGCTGAGGAACTTTGCCCAGAAAAATCAAAGATATGCCTCGAAGAAACTGGCCCCCGAACTGAAATTTGATAGTTAATGCGGCCCTCGGACTGAAAAGTTTGGAGACCCCTGGTTTACACCAAGAGAGTAGAAACAGACTGTTGTCACCTACCTCCAAATCCTGTGGACGTGGACTGTAGGCCTGTACCAAAAACAAAACTGCCAGCGGAGGACTGGGCGGGTTGGGTTGAGCTGAACAACCCCCCTGTACTGGTTGAGCCTGCTTGCTTGGCTCTACGGTTGGCGCTGTAGTCTTCAAATCTCAGCTCCTGGAGAGTTTAAACTGGCATTAGTCACCTAAACAATATGTTCTATTGCAGGTGGCTTTTAAAAAACACTGAATCATTATAGTAGTATACAGGGTTCATGTGCAGTAAGAAAAATTAAGATTTTTAGACTCAATATTGAGTATACTAATAAAACAATATCTATTTATAAACATGAATGTAATGACCTCCAAACTTTTGTTCTCATACTCCTTCATGGCTGTGATACACTGGTGCCTGGTGCTGATGCTTGTGGTCACTCCACCTTTCATCATGGTGTCCTGGCCAGCAGGGGGGTTGAATGCTATGGTCGTACCCCCAACACCCCCTACTCCTCCTGTGCTACCAAAGGCACCTGTTGCAGGTGACTGACCAAACAGTGAGGGTGTGGTTCCTGTGTTACTAAACAAACTGCCTGTGGTTGCCTGGCCAGGTGTGCTGCCAAACCCTGAAAAAGTACCATGGGTTAGTTGTGCCAACATAACAGCCTGTCTTGTACCATAAAAAATGGGAGGAAACAAGCAAAGCTTACCAAAAGCAGCTGGTTTAGTTGTGCCAACATAACAGCCTGTCTTGTACCATAAAAATTGGGAGGAAACAAACAAAGCCTACCAAAAGCAGCTGGGTTAGTTGTGCCAACATAACAGCCTGTCTTGTACCATAAAAAATGGGAGGAAACAAACAAAGCCTACCAAAAGCAGCTGGTTTAGTCCCAAAGGCCGTTCCTGTGGCTGGTGTAGAGAAGAGGGAACTTGTGCCAGTGCCTGTGGGATTGGTGGAGCCAAACAAACTGCCTGTAGTGTTGGAACCAGTGGAGCTACCAAATGCTGAAATATTAAGATTGTTCTAGAACAATGACTGTTGTTACATGTATTCTACACACAGTGGCAACCATCTCTCATGTGACATATATTATCATAGAGCTTGCAAACAGCACCAAGTAGTACACTCTGTACTAGCAAGTAACTCAATACTGAGATTACAACCCAACTAATCAAGCAGAGCCGCCACACATGTCCACACTTACAGAATGCATTACTGCTTTGTGGTTGGCCAAAGCTAGAGGCTGGGGTGGTCCCAAACAGATTAGAGCCAGTTGTTCCTGTAGATCCACTTGCAGCACCACCAAACAGGCCCCCCATTCCAGGGGATTGTGTCCCAAAAGCTGAGGTCCCTCCTGCTCCAAAGGCTGTTGCTATTTTACGTAAAATCATTCATCAAAACAAATTACTTTTAAAACTACTAGATAGACTATGAAAAAAAAAACCCATGCATTAAATATATTAAAAATTACAAATACACTTATATGTAAGTGTTTAACAATATCAATATTATATATTAATTCATAAAAAATAATTAGAGAGGATAGAGAAAAAAGCAGATTTAGCAGGCAGTAAAAAGCTATTGACAGACAAAGACTCACACTGGCCAAAGCTTCCAAATGAGGCTGTGAGAAAACAAACAAGAAACATCAAGTGCAAATAAAACAAGAACAAAATAAAATGCCCTCTTTATTTATGTACTTTAATTAGCCTAATACTTTTTTCTTCAAGGGGCAATGTCTTGCCTTTTGAAATTCTGTCAATTTACATTTACAAACTTTCAAACCTTTCCTTTTAAATTATGAAATTATATAAATAATTCATTAAATAAAAATACTGCTAACCCACAAACATCTGAAAAACCCAGTGTTACATAAAAAGAGGGACATAAAATAAATTCATAAATTGCTGTCCAACCACTAAAGGAATAACAACCATAAGGTGAATGAAAATGAAAAGAGACGAAAGTTTAAAAAATGAACATACTTGTCCCGGTACCAAATCCGGTAAAGCTTGGTTTGTTGTTTCCAAACATACTGTAGGCTTCTTGTCGAGGTTTAATTAATCAACTGATGAAAGAAGAGAAAACAATTATTAAACAGAGATGCTAATGATTGTTTCATTATTAGAATTAAGTTTGAAGATTTCCCAATGAAGATAGTACTTGCATCATGCAAATTAAACATAACTATGTCTAAGCGCATTTTCAGCTTCAGACAATCCATAAAATTTTAATTAAAATAAACGAGCCGGCCCGCGGCATAACATACGCCGCTATTTAGTTGTTTCTAATTTTCAATAATTCATAATTTGTGAATTCAACAGTACCAACGCTGACACTGAAAATATTTCTTTAAAACACTATAAGTAGCTCGTTAAGGACCATAACCCCCCTCCCCTTCCTTCCCCCCCTCTCCCACCCCCCTACGTTTAAAATCGTTGGCTCTGCTTGTAAACATTTAGAGTGAACACAGCTCACTAAAACCATGTAGGGGTGGGGAGGTAGGGAGAGCGTTTGCAGCTTGTTTTCTAACGGCTCGAAGAAGAGAAATATATATAGAAGATTTGCCCTTTACTTTTGGCTGACAATATTTGTTAAAAATGATCAGAGGAAGCATATCTAAGATGGTGCCAGCTTCATTTTCATTAAGTGGTAGAGGGATAGATTGATTTTGAAGCTATCGTCAATTTAAGTAATTGGAACTACCCACTAATACTAAAGTCTGTTAATTAAGAATTGCTGAATGTACTTTGACCTCATTTCTATGTCTTGCAGAATTTACTTTTTATTTTATTTTTTTGTAAACATGTGCTTAATCTTACCCAAAAAGTGATAAAAATTTGAAAAAGTTGTAAAGTGAGATAAACAGCTTAATAAACATGTGTTTTCTTGAGGGGGTGTGACCCATGTGTGGCACATCGTAATTGGAACTTTTATATTTTATACTTTATATTTCTGTGTTTTATGACTATATTTGTTCACAATCAGCATGCTATGCTTTTAAAATTGATAAAGGGTAAGTAGGCCTATACCAAGTTACAAATCTGCAATTTTCAATTTAAATAATAAAAACGATCATCAACGAAGAAAGCGTAAACATTCTATTTTTTAGGTCATAAAACAGTCATAAATCTAGCCAAAGGATTAAATTTTTGCGCGGCACACATTTTCCCGTGCCTCATTTTCACCAAACAAGAATATAATAAAATGGCACTATTGAGGTGTGATCATTTACACCAGGGGTCTCCAAACTACGGCCCGCGTGACTTTCTCTCAACGGCCTCGTAAAAGACAAATAAAGAAATTAGGTCAAGCTGCCATTATTAAAATGTTAATTATTCGTCCCTTAAATACATTGGCAGTTTTGAATACAAATCTATCAGATTACGATACAATCCTTATTTTTAACTATGATGTACTTCATGAGAAAGAAATGATTCGATATTATATATGTCCGCCCAAAACATGGGTGCTTCAAAACAGCGAGAACGAGACTTCACGAATCGAACGGCCTACTAGGAGGAGTCCTACGTTTGAGGCCACTGCAACCACAATTGAAATTGCAGTGAGTCAGGCCTAAACAACTAGAATCTAGTCCTCTAAACCCCCCCCCCCCCCCTAAACTTAAATTTTTATGGAGGTCATATGCAAAGTAGATCTAGTTTTTTTATTAAAATTCTAGATATCTACAGCTGTAGCTAGATCTATCACATTTTATACTTAGTACTTAGGCTCCTTAATTTTAGATTATTTGATACTGAAAGTAGAGTTGTTAGTCAAAATCAATGTTAGAGTGAGTGGAGAACTCAGAATCATTCATTCATGAATTTCATAGTCATACCTTGCTTGAAAAACTTGTATTTTATAACTTGGAGGGTTTAAAAAAAATTTTAAACTATAATAGCTGCAGCCAGAATTGGAAATTTATATTAATTAAAGTCCTTAAAAAGGAACTAATCTATAAATACATGTAATTCTAGGCTGGATAAAAGCAATTTAATCCAGTCCTAAGAAGCGACAACATAAGCGCCATATTTATCTTTCAGAAAAGTATGGCGCATGTTGGTTAAAAAACTAGGCTATTGACAGAAAAGATTGTTGCGAAACAAGTAACATTGAAAAAGTCTGATGATGTTTATTTTTCGAATAATAAAAACTTATTAGGCCTATGTGCTTGATGATTGTATTTAAAGAGTTTAAAATTTACAAACTAGATTTATATGTAGTCTATATCTAATTGCGAAATGTTTAAGTAAGCTTCTAAATTTAGAATTAAAAATGTTAAATTCAGTCTTTTCTAGCGAGATCCGGCTTTTAAATCTAACACCCTTAACTTGAACTCTAGCTTTTCAACCCTGACCCCAAGTTAGACCTAGATCTATATCCCCTCTCGTGATGCGATCAAAAACACCGCCCCTCCAGCGATGATAAAACAGTAAACATAAACGCAGTTGTTTCACGTCTTCATAGTCATTAGGATAATCAATCTATGTCTTAATTATGGAGGTAACTAGTTAAGCTTTGAGTTAAATTGGCGTATTCTTTACTACTCACTACCAACAGTATTATTCAAATATTGCAACAGACACTAGACAGATCTACTCTCTAGAAATCTAGTAGTAGAATAAGTAGATCTAGCTAGATTCTAGCTGCCTAGATCTAGAACTAAATGACGAAATGTAGATTCTAGAATCCTAGATCTTAGATCTAGATCTAGCTAGACTGAAGACTTAAGAATAGTTTAGAATAGATCTAGCTAGATATTAGTTTAAGTTTAAGTAGTTTTTAAAATTAAGAATAAAATAGTTTTTAGTTAGGCTAGAAGATATGGTAATCTCCTGTTGTTTTAGGTACGTAAAATCGCCCGCGACTAGATCTAGTAATGTGAAAAACAGGTGACTCCTTAAATTTTAATAATTATTTAACATTTTGAGGAGGATTTATGTTTTGAAAAATACAGAACAACGGGTTGTCTCCATAAGGTGAGGATGCCAGCGCAAGAAGGTGCTGAGTGTTTTGGGCCTGGGATGTAGCCGCTTGTAGCGGACACCCTGAAACAACAAGAGTCAGCCATCTTGAATGAAACAACAAGAGTCAGTTATCTTGAATGAAAATGAAAGAGTCAGCCATCTTAAAATGCAAGGAGAACAAAGGGGAAACCAGTACCACTGCTCTCCCCTCAACATTTCTCATCTCCATGTTATGTAATGTATAGCACACATGGCTTATCAGGGGAAAGCATTAAGGCAGATTAGTTAGTACCACCCCTTTTTACATACAAGAATGTTAACTCTGGACAGCTACACACTAGTATACTAGCTACACACTAGGCATACTAATGTGCCTACTGTAAACTACTAGACTGTAGGCCCTATGTACACCTGCAATTGTATCAATTGTAGACTGGGCCCATTGGGGCCTAGTGATAGCTAGTATCAGTTAAAGTGTGTGTACACAGCATTAACTATTTTGGGGTTAGAAATTAATTATTTTTATTGCAGAGTTAATCTAAACTAGGAGATAATACTTATTGCCCCATTGCCCGGCTCCTTTCACCCCAAATGCTGATTTCGGGGGTATGACAATTAATGTTCAATTAAACTCATTAAAGTATATTTAATAGACTTTGTTATTATTTTTATATTGTGTAAGATATGTTAGAATAATTTTGCCATATTTTCAATACTAAAAAATTCTTAGATTAGTAGAAATCTTTAAAAATGTACAGGTGCTAAAAAGTGTGGCTCTTAACGCCCTCCTTTACCCATTTGATTTAGTTATTATCTAACAAATAAAACCATTATGGTAATGATCAGTCAAGTTTTACTCTGATAATGATAAAAACTTTACAGCATGGTAAAATGGGACAAATGTCGGCCATTTTGTTTTGGCACCAATAATCACTGTGCAAAAAAAATTCACCAAAATAAAACTATTCTAACCATAGCTATAAAAATAGTGTTAAAATGTACAACAACCAATGCTCTAATACAGGAACAAAGAATGGGCTTGAAAAACTCATTTGGTTTATTACAAAGTGAAGTTTCCCAAGTTATGTCTATTTGGAAAAAAAGTTCACAAAATGGTTTTATGGAGATGAGAAATTTTAGGGAAAGAGCAGTGGGATTAAATCCTGTCTCATCCTCTCCCTATTGGACCAAGTGGGTCATAAATTACATAAAATGAATCCTCTGCTTCTCTTTTATCAAAGAACAGCAGTGGTTGTTACCTCAGAAGTAGATTAGCAGTGTTATTGGGGGTTTTGTCGGGGTGGGGTGTTGATTGGGGCTTAATACCACACGGCTCTTAACGCCCTCCTTTACCCTACCTGTTTTTAAACAATTGAATTAAAACTTTTCAGTAATAAATGAAGACTAGCGATGTTTCCAACAGATGAAACCATGCTCATTTACTATAGCAGCCATCTTGTTAATTTTTTTTACTGTACTGTAAACTTATAGCATTATAGCGCAAGATTGAGGGGAAGCCACTCTAACTTTCAGATGGCCGCTTTTTATATAGCAAATCCTGCTCGCAAATGCTGCTGTTTAAAGTTAATTTCTTGCCTATATTGATATATTTAGCCATTGATTTATGTTTATTATTCATTTATCTATAAAATATTTGACACAAATATATCACAATATACTTCTATTAAAGCCTTGACGATGAGGTAACTTTTTCGTACATTACTAGCCGCGGACGATTTTACGTACCTTAAACGATAGATTACCGAAGATATCTATTATCTAGATCTGGAATCTACACTTTTATATCGATCTATAGAATATAGTGTAACGGACACCTATCTACCAGCCAGATAGATGGTGAACGCTCCCGGATTCTTTCCTGGGGTTATATGCAAATGACCTAAAGCCTAAATGAATGAAAACTAACTCAACAACTCACTAGGGCTCGATTTCGAGGTCTAGGGAAAACTAGTGAAACTATTGAAGTTAACAACTCATTCAATCTGCATACAACTTTTAATAAGTGAACAAAGTTGTGGCAGAACACTAGATTAAACAAGATAAAATATTTAGTTTAGAAATAACAAAACCCAACTTACAAAGCGTAAGAATAAATACTATCACAGATTCTAACACTTTATAAAAATAGCCACAGTTCACATAACACTGCTATAGCATAAAGAATCACTTGGCCACAAGTAATATAATACTAGGATACTTAAACAACTTAATAATACATAGCACACTCAGGACTTATGCTCTCTCACATTCAACTGGCCAAAATGGACTGCTTCGAGACACCTGTGGGCGATCTATTTATAGACTTAGGTAACATGGAAGGTCACCTTCAAATCATAAGACCATTGGTTGGGGTGGTCATCTGGTCTGAAACAATCAATCATCTCTCGATGGAAAATTTCTGAGTCTAAGACTCTCTTAGTAAGACAGCGGAAAAAAACCGGTTGTTGCACCACAGACCCTATATGGTATTATAACAAATGTCAAACTAAAAATAAAACATTACTAGACCTAAGTAGGTCACAATAGATAGAACTAGATTTTACTAGATCTATCTACTAAAACTATCTCTAACTAGAGTCTATCTAGTCTACCGACTATCTTTCCTACGACTAGATCTATACTAGATCTATAGATATAAATCTAGATCTATAGTTTCTATAGAGATCCATATGAATTCTTGATCTATCTTCAGAAGTAGGCCTAATAATAGTAATTAATTACTAATTAGATTTAGATCTAGCATAAAAGGTAAGCAAAAAAAAATACAAAAATAAGAGTGGACCATAGGCCCCTACATATTAATACATAATTTTAAACTTACTGAGTATTAGTTGTATAACTTAGGCAACTTAGGCCTATTTAAAGTTTTTGTGTATTTCAATGAAGTTGAATTTCTTCTTATGAAATCTCTCTTTTTCTAGGATGAGGACGGAAAGAATTGTGATGGTCAGCCAAGTGACCTGCCACTGTATCTAGTTGAAGTGCCAGAGGCAGTGAAGAAGGGAGAGCATGTTATGTTTACCATCCACACAACTCTCCGTTATGACAAGAAGAGTTATGTCATTCTTCGTCAATTTGAAGACATTGAATGGCTTCATCACAACTTGATTACATCAAATAACATTAATGGAGTTATAGTAAGACTATTTATTTTTTACAGATAATCCAGTGAATTTCAATGTTAGCCTAAAAGTTAAAATGGCCTGATCAATTACATTTGCTTGGCAACTTTTATATAACTTAAATTGTTATCACAGTTTATGTTTTTATAAAACCCAAGGTCTATATAGAGATGTCCCAAATAGACATGTAACCTTCACTAAATTATTAAGTATGATTCTGTTTGGTACACAGCAGTAAATTTACCAGGGGAAAGTCCAGAGCGACAAAAAAATTAGAAGTTTTTCTTCTTTTTATTCTACTGTATCAATTGTAATATTGCAGGGAGTTTCTTCTGAAAAAATTAAATACTACATGTTGTTAAGTGCCAGATAACTAGCCTAATTGACAGCACATGGGGGATGAATTTGGGACGTTTGGAGTTAGCAAACTTATGCTTTCCTGCCCATCTGCACCCCTCCCCTATGTTGTTTTTGAATTTATGATATTTAAGAGGCTGTAAAATATGTCATCTTTTTTTTTTTTTGCTATTTATTAGTAGAGGGTTCAGTTCACTTCTAATTGAGAAATATCATCACTTTTTGATGCAAATTTTTTAATAAATTGTAACTTGGTATTTGATGTCACCTGCTGATTGATGTAACTTGATGATATAGATCCCTCCTCTACCTGTCAAACCATTGTCAGACCCAAAAAGTGCCGAGTCCCTATCACGACGCCAGCTGGGAGACAACACTAAAGTATTACGAGGTGACCAGTTTGAGCAGGATAGTAAATCTGTTCAAAAGTAAGCTCATTACAGCTGTATTAGTTTACATTTCTTGATAGTTTAAATTATTTTTAATATTGTATTTAACTTTTTCATGTTTTACTTCTGTAACTTTCTATTTTTCTTTACAGTTACTATAAATTGTGTATGAATTGTAAACTGAAAGTTTAGTATTTATTGAAAAGATTTTCCAGTATTTTACATTTTTCATGTTATTGTAGATACCTTCAGCTGGTACTGTCCCACCCAAAGTTTGGTAGAGACAAGAACCTGATGAATTTTATGAAGGAGGAAGAGGTGTGTAGCTATAATTTTATCTCTTTAGTAGCATGTTAGGCAGATACTGCAACATGACAATTTTGTAAATCAAATGCAACACACCCATAAAAAAGTTTTTTTTTCTTAGTTATATGGAAACATGTTATGTAGCCTACTAGATGTAGCTTACATGAAAGAAAAAAACTTTATTAAGAAAACTGAAAATTAACTTTAATATGTGTTTGATAGTGACTAATGATGCTAAAATATAAACTGTACTTGTATGTTGTCTCAAATAAAAATGATCTTTACTAGGCCCCCCAGCGAGTTCGTTTAAACAAAGGTTTAATGACCAGGCTGACGTCGGCCATTGACAGTGCCAGGAAAGCTAACCACAAGGTGAGCCAAACCATTGTACATATTTTAAACCTTAATTCACAGTTATTCTTCAGTTAAATTTTGGCTTTACTATGTAGTGATAAGCCTATGCTCATGTGGTGCATCATTTCTAATTTATTATTTTTAAACCAGGATGTTGATGAATATTTCACTAAGCAAAGACACTTTTCTAATGAATATTTAAAGGCAGTCAAAGATGCCTCTTTGGTGAGTTTTCTACATTTTTTTACTTAGTGTTTGATAATTATGATTTGCAAAATTTTATTATTTTTATTTTATATTTAGCTCCCTGTATAATAAAGAACTTGACAAATTAAATCTGTAATAATTTCAACTGATATTTTACACATTTTCAGAACTATAACAAATTGCTTGTTGCTCAATGGCGTAAGTACTTCAGTATATATCTGCTGTTATTTTAAAATTTTAAGCTAAAATATTGATGAAATCTCAATCATATCATAACCATCTTTTTCATTAACAAAAAGTTTTTTAAAGAAGTAAAAACAGAACCATTAGAATTATGAGATCAAACACAATAAATATTTTAAGAATTTTGCAAAGTTCTAGTCATTTGTTAACTAAAAGTATCTAGATTCATGAGTTGATTAAAAATGTATTCACCTGTTTTCACCAATTGTTTCAGGTTTATCCAGCTCTTACAGGCAGCTGGCGACAGAACTGACGTCATGCACGGCAGACAGGGATGAAGGCTTGGTTAGACTAAACAGGTTAATTAACTGTCCATCTGTCCACATGACTGTCCACCAGACTGTCCATCTGTCCACATGAATAACCATCTGTGTGTTCACATGACTGTCCATCTTACTGACCACATGACTGTCCATCTTACTGACCACATGACTGTCCACTAGACTGACCACCAGTCCATTGTATTGATTGTACACCTTATACCAATGTCCATCTAGATTCAATTATTTGCATACCTACTGTACTAGCACGTAATATCTACAAACAGCCATTAATTAGCCTAATTAGCCTTATTTTTATTTCCCCAGAATTTTAAAACTACTGAGTGATGGATGTGAAGATGAAGCTGTAGGTCTAAATTTGTCTTTCAGCTTTTGCTAATTAATGGTAGCTAATTAATGATAGATAACATAATCACTGAGATTTTTAAACTATAAAAAATTGTTTTAGGTTTGCTATGAGTTGAAGAGCAGTCAAGGGGAAACTACTCTTGGTTTTTATTTGGACCTGATGGCAAGGTTCAGTGATTCCCTAAAGGTATTGGAAATTATATTTATAGTTAAAGGTTGTCAGGGGAGATTATCAGAGGACAGATGTGAAACACTGGTTACCTCCCTTTTAATTGTTAAAAGATTATTTTGTTTTTATATACTAAAAAGACAATGTGTAACTATTTTAGACAGTAATCCCCTATGTCAACTTATAGGGTTGACATTTTTAGTAAACTGTAAATTCCCCAAAATTGTACCTTGTGTGGTTGAATGTTTGTTTGCCTACTGCCAGGACATGCACTTCCGACGCACCAATGCACTCATTGATTACCAGACGGCAGAGAAGGCTCTGGAGAAGGCCAAGCCAGTGAAAAAGGCAGCTGTGAGTATTTCATGGTCTGATGGGCGTGGTTTATTATGTATGATGATATGACATACCAGTGATATTGAGACTAACATGATGCAACTGTTACCTCCCATTGGAGACTGATGCAACTGTTACCTCCCATTTGAGACTAACATGATGCAACTGTTACTTCCCATTGGAGACTAACATGATGCAACTGTTACCTCCCATTGGAGACTAACATGATGCAACTGTTACCTCCCATTTGAGACTAACATGATGCAACTGTTACCTCCCATTGGAGACTAACATGATGCAACTGTTACTTCCCATTTGAGACTAACATGATGCAACTGTTACCTCCCATTTGAGACTAACATGATGCAACTGTTACCTCCCATTTGAGACTAACATGATGCAACTGTTACCTCCCATTGGAGACTGATGCAACTGTTACCTCCCATTGGAGACTAACATGATGCAACTGTTACCTCCCATTGGAGACTAACATGATGCAACTGTTACCTCCCATTGGAGACTAACATGATGCAACTGTTACCTCCCATTTGAGACTAACATGATGCAACTGTTACCTCCCATTTGAGACTAACATGATGCAACTGTTACCTCCCATTGGAGACTAACATGATGCAACTGTTACCTCCCATTTGAGACTAACATGATGCAACTGTTACCTCCCAATGGAGACTAACATGATGCAACTGTTACCTCCCATTTGAGACTAACATGATGCAACTGTTACCTCCCATTTGAGACTAACATGATGCAACTGTTACCTCCCATTTGAGACTAACATGATGCAACTGTTACCTCCCAATGGAGACTAACATTATGCAACTGTTACCTCCCATTGGAGACTAACATGATGCAACTGTTACCTCCCATTTGAGACTAACATGATGCAACTGTTACCTCCCATTTGAGACTAACATGATGCAACTGTTACCTCCCATTTGAGACTAACATGATGCAACTGTTACTTCCCATTTGAGACTAACATGATGCAACTGTTACCTCCCATTTGAGACTAACATGATGCAACTGTTACCTCCCATTGGAGACTAACATGATGCAACTGTTACCTCCCATTTGAGACTAACATGATGCAACTGTTACCTCCCATTGGAGACTAACATGATGCAACTGTTACCTCCCATTGGAGACTAACATGATGCAACTGTTACCTCCCATTGGAGACTAACATGATGCAACTGTTACCTCCCATTTGAGACTAACATGATGCAACTGTTACCTCCCAATGGAGACTAACATGATGCAACTGTTACCTCCCATTTGAGACTAACATGATGCAACTGTTACCTCCCATTTGAGACTAACATGATGCAACTGTTACCTCCCATTTGAGACTAACATGATGCAACTGTTACCTCCCATTTGAGACTAACATGATGCAACTGTTACCTCCCATTTGAGACTAACATGATGCAACTGTTACCTCCCATTTGAGACTAACATGATGCAACTGTTACCTCCCATTTGAGACTAACATGATGCAACTTTTACCTCCCAATGGAGACTAACATGATGCAACTGTTACCTCCCATTTGAGACTAACATGATGCAACTGTTACCTCCCATTTGAGACTAACATGATGCAACTGTTACCTCCCATTTGAGACTAACATGATGCAACTGTTACCTCCCATTTGAGACTAACATGATGCAACTGTTACCTCCCATTTGAGACTAACATGATGCAACTGTTACCTCCCATTTGAGACTAACATGATGCAACTGTTACCTCCCATTTGAGACTAACATGATGCAACTGTTACCTCCCATTTGAGACTAACATGATGCAACTGTTACCTCCCATTGGAGACTAACATGATGCAACTGTTACCTCCCATTGGAGACTAACATGATGCAATAGTTACCTCCCATTTGAGACTAACATGATGCAACTGTTACCTCCCATTTGAGACTAACATTATGCAACTGTTACCTCCCATTACAGGCAGAAGAAGTTTTTGAAGCAGCTAAGAAAACCTTTGAGGAAAGTTCAGATGAGGGGAGGAAAGAGGTTAGTGTTTTAAAAATTTACCCCTCTGCTGCATACAGTTATTGTTTAGCTATTTTGTTATGTACAGTTATTGTTTAGCTATTTTGTTATGTACAGTTATTGTTTAGCTATTTTGTTATGTACAGTTATTGTTTAGCTATTTTGTTATGTACAGTTATTGTTTGACTATTTTCTTGCAGAATTCTGAACTTATCCATTCCTAGCATCCACTAGAACACAATACTGAACTCATCCATTTCATATAACCACTAGAACACAATACTGAACTCATCTATTTCATATAACCACTAGAACACAATACTGAACTCATCCATTTCATATAGATCTAACCACTAGAACACAATACTGAACTCATCCATTTCATATAACCACTAGAACACAATACTGAACTCATCCATTTCATATAACCACTAGAACACAATACTGAACTCATCCATTTCATATAGATCTAACCACTAGAACACAATACTGAACTCATCCATTTCATATAACCACTAGAACACAATACTGAACTCATCCATTTCATATAACCACTAGAACACAATACTGAACTCATCCATTTCATATAACCACTAGAACACAATACTGAACTCATCCATTTCATATAACCACTAGAACACAATACTGAACTCATCCATTTCATATAGATCTAACCACTAGAACACAATACTGAACTCATCTATTTCATATAACCACTAGAACACAATACTGAACTCATCCATTTCATATAACCACTAGAACACAATACTGAACTCATCCATTTCATATAGATCTAACCACTAGAACACAATACTGAACTCATCTATTTCATATAACCACTAGAACACAATACTGAACTCATCCATTTCACATAACCACTAGAACACAATACTGAACTCATCTATTTCATATAACCACTAGAACACAATACTGAACTCATCCATTTCATATAACCACTAGAACACAATACTGAACTCATCTATTTCATATAACCACTAGAACACAATACTGAACTCATCCATTTCATATAACCACTAGAACACAATACTGAACTCATCCATTTCATATAACCACTAGAACACAATACTGAACTCATCCATTTCATATAACCACTAGAACACAATACTGAACTCATCCATTTCATATAGATCTAACCACTAGAACACAATACTGAACTCATCCATTTCATATAACCACTAGAACACAATACTGAACTCATCCATTTCATATAACCACTAGAACACAATACTGAACTCATCCATTTCATATAACCACTAGAACACAATACTGAACTCATCCATTTCATATAACCACTAGAACACAATACTGAACTCATCCATTTCATATAGATCTAACCACTAGAACACAATACTGAACTCATCTATTTCATATAACCACTAGAACACAATACTGAACTCATCCATTTCATATAACCACTAGAACACAATACTGAACTCATCCATTTCATATAGATCTAACCACTAGAACACAATACTGAACTCATCTATTTCATATAACCACTAGAACACAATACTGAACTCATCCATTTCACATAACCACTAGAACACAATACTGAACTCATCTATTTCATATAACCACTAGAACACAATACTGAACTCATCCATTTCATATAACCACTAGAACACAATACTGAACTCATCTATTTCATATAACCACTAGAACACAATACTGAACTCATCCATTTCATATAACCACTAGAACACAATACTGAACTCATCCATTTCATATAACCACTAGAACACAATACTGAACTCATCCATTTCATATAACCACTAGAACACAATACTGAACTCATCCATTTCATATAGATCTAACCACTAGAACACAATACTGAACTCATCTATTTCATATAACCACTAGAACACAATACTGAACTCATCCATTTCACATAACCACTAGAACACAATACTGAACTCATCTATTTCATATAACCACTAGAACACAATACTGAACTCATCCATTTCATATAACCACTAGAACACAATACTGAACTCATCCATTTCATATAACCACTAGAACACAATACTGAACTCATCCATTTCATATAACCACTAGAACACAATACTGAACACATCCATTTCATATAACCACTAGAACACAATACTGAACTCATCCATTTCATATAACCACTAGAACACAATACTGAACTCATCCATTTCATATAACCACTAGAACACAATACTGAACTCATCTATTTCACATAACCACTAGAACACAATACTGAACTCATCCATTTCATATAACCACTAGAACACAATACTGAACTCATCCATTTCATATAACCACTAGAACACAATACTGAACTCATCCATTTCATATAACCACTAGAACACAATACTGAACTCATCTATTTCATATAACCACTAGAACACAATACTGAACTCATCCATTTCATATAGATCTAACCACTAGAACACAATACTGAACTCATCCATTTCATATAACCACTAGAACACAATACTGAACTCATCCATTTCATATAACCACTAGAACACAATACTGAACTCATCCATTTCATATAGATCTAACCACTAGAACACAATACTGAACTTATCCATTTCATATAACCACTAGAACACAATACTGAACTCATCTATTTCACATAACCACTAGAACACAATACTGAACTCATCCATTTCATATAACCACTAGAACACAATACTGAACTCATCCATTCCTAGCATCCACTAGAACACAATACTGAACTCATCCATTTCATATAACCACTAGAACACAATACTGAACTCATCTATTTCACATAACCACTAGAACACAATACTGAACTCATCCATTTCATATAACCACTAGAACACAATACTGAACTCATCCATTTCATATAACCACTAGAACACAATACTGAACTTATCCATTTCATATAACCACTAGAACACAATACTGAACTCATCTATTTCACATAACCACTAGAACACAATACTGAACTCATCCATTTCATATAACCACTAGAACACAATACTGAACTCATCCATTTCATATAGATCTAACCACTAGAACACAATACTGAACTCATCCATTTCATATAACCACTAGAACACAATACTGAACTCATCTATTTCACATAACCACTAGAACACAATACTGAACTCATCCATTTCATATAACCACTAGAACACAATACTGAACTCATCTATTTCACATAACCACTAGAACACAATACTGAACTCATCCATTTCATATAACCACTAGAACACAATACTGAACTCATCTATTTCATATAACCACTAGAACACAATACTGAACTCATCCATTTCATATAACCACTAGAACACAATACTGAACTCATCTATTTCACATAACCACTAGAACACAATACTGAACTCATCCATTTCATATAACCACTAGAACACAATACTGAACTCATCTATTTCATATAACCACTAGAACACAATACTGAACTCATACATTTCACATAACCACTAGAACACAATACTGAACTCATCTATTTCATATAACCACTAGAACACAATACTGAACTCATCCATTTCATATAACCACTAGAACACAATACTGAACTCATCCATTTCATATAACCACTAGAACACAATACTGAACTCATCCATTTCATATAACCACTAGAACACAATACTGAACTCATCCATTTCATATAACCACTAGAACACAATACTGAACTCATCCATTTCATATAACCACTAGAACACAATACTGAACTCATCCATTTCATATAACCACTAGAACACAATACTGAACTCATCTATTTCACATAACCACTAGAACACAATACTGAACTCATCCATTTCATATAACCACTAGAACACAATACTGAACTCATCCATTTCATATAACCACTAGAACACAATACTGAACTCATCCATTTCATATAACCACTAGAACACAATACTGAACTCATCTATTTCATATAACCACTAGAACACAATACTGAACTCATCCATTTCATATAGATCTAACCACTAGAACACAATACTGAACTCATCCATTTCATATAACCACTAGAACACAATACTGAACTCATCCATTTCATATAACCACTAGAACACAATACTGAACTCATCCATTTCATATAGATCTAACCACTAGAACACAATACTGAACTTATCCATTTCATATAACCACTAGAACACAATACTGAACTCATCTATTTCACATAACCACTAGAACACAATACTGAACTCATCCATTTCATATAACCACTAGAACACAATACTGAACTCATCCATTCCTAGCATCCACTAGAACACAATACTGAACTCATCCATTTCATATAACCACTAGAACACAATACTGAACTCATCTATTTCACATAACCACTAGAACACAATACTGAACTCATCCATTTCATATAACCACTAGAACACAATACTGAACTCATCCATTTCATATAACCACTAGAACACAATACTGAACTCATCCATTTCATATAACCACTAGAACACAATACTGAACTCATCTATTTCACATAACCACTAGAACACAATACTGAACTCATCCATTTCATATAACCACTAGAACACAATACTGAACTCATCCATTTCATATAGATCTAACCACTAGAACACAATACTGAACTCATCCATTTCATATAACCACTAGAACACAATACTGAACTCATCTATTTCACATAACCACTAGAACACAATACTGAACTCATCCATTTCATATAACCACTAGAACACAATACTGAACTCATCCATTTCATATAACCACTAGAACACAATACTGAACTCATCCATTTCATATAACCACTAGAACACAATACGGAACTCATCTATTTCACATAACCACTAGAACACAATACTGAACTCATCTATTTCACATAACCACTAGAACACAATACTGAACTCATCCATTTCATATAACCACTAGAACACAATACTGAACTCATCCATTTCATATAACCACTAGAACACAATACTGAACTCATCCATTTCATATAGATCTAACCACTAGAACACAATACTGAACTCATCCATTTCATATAGATCTAACCACTAGAACACAATACT